GCTCTTGCAGAAGTACATGCTGAATGTCAGCTGGCGAAAGATCATGGTGGTCGCCACGGTCGTTGGCGTTGCTTTGGATGCCATTCCGACGTTTCTGACCATCTTTGGTGTGGTGCGAAACGAATACTTCTTCCTCGGTGAGTCTGTCGTCAGCGCCGTGCCCGAGTCCATGGCAGTTCTTGTCAGCAGCTTCATTGTGAACGAGTTGGCCGACACTTCCAATTGTGGCTTGATGGCGGGGCTCTTCACGACCATCAACAACGTGGCAAATCCGTTGGGCTTGCTGCTGGGGAACCAGATCTTCGGGTTGTTCCAGCCAGCGCTTTACGATCAAGCCAACTTCGTGGAGGATACGCCGGCCTTCCGCCGGACGGTGGGCTTCTCTTACGGCCTGACCTATGCGCTCATCCTTCTGCCGCTCTTGATCCTGCGTTTGCTTCCGAGCCAGAAGATCCACGCTCAAAGACGCAAGCGGGAATGGAGGCACAGGTGCTACTACGCCGTGGTGGCAGCGATTGTGTTGAGTGTGTCGCTCCTGTACACATTGGTGGGTGACGTCTTCGATATGGACCCAGTCCTGGCCTGCCACAGATTCGTGGGCGGCGGGGGCTGCAACCAGGCAGCTAAGCTGTCTGACCCTTCTCAGGATTGAGATTGTTTGATTCTTGGTTCGTGTTCCTAGCTCTCCATAGTTCTGACACCTTAAGGTTTTATCTTGGGTAGCGCGGGGACTCAGCCCACGGGGTCAGAGCAGTCGAGTGTAGAGTTTGCGTTTTTAGTAGCAATGCGGCTTGAGATCGGCAGAGGATCTGGAGGCATGCTGTCCATGGCCCGAGATCAGTTTTCACCCGGGTTTGATACGTCGCATGCTTCCTGTCCGCCGCCCTCTTCTCTTGTTGCACACATTGCAAGGTCGTCGAGGTTGAGGTCGTCAGTTCCCTGGCATGTGAAAGGTAAAGGAGGTTTTCCGCATTTTCGTAAGAGACCTTGCCCTCTTCGCGACCTTGCGATTCGGTTTTGAATTCCGCAAAGTATCCGAGAGGCCTGGACACCTCAGGGCCCTCGTGGCCCTTTCTGTAAAGAGACTCCAGGATCGCGGATTCCCGCCTCCGTACAGGTCGACCTGACCCAATTGGGTCCAGAGTACACGCAACATAGGTTCGGTCCAGGTCCATTGATAGCGTTTGGCTTTGGACCCTTGGGGCATTAGGGCGTAGGACCCCTAAGGCGTAAGGTCAGGCAGCAAGTTCGATGGCTGAACATCGAACTGATTAATTCATTCAACATGCATGCACCTACATGCTCGTTTCTATGCTACGATTCTGGCAGACGTCCGGAAAAGGAGAATATATATATTTGCTCTGGGAAGTCGCGTCCATGTGGCAGTAGGAGTACATGTCAAAGATCCTCTGTATTGAATGTTTTTGTGGCCTTGAATCTACAGGTCGTGGATTGGCGCATCTTTAGTTGGTGTTTGCTTGGTCAGACTTTCTGCTTGCTTCTTGCTTGACGAAAAGAGTGTAAAGCACTATGCACTAAGCCATGAATCAAAGGCTTAAAGCTTCAAGACCCTCAAGGCCTATAGCCCAAATCTCCAGACCTCTTAAGCCTTGAGCCCGTGGATTCTTAAAGCCCCCAACCAAGCCTTAAACCCCGACAGCCCTAAACGCTATAGCCAACAATGCGGGCTTGTCTTTGCGAAGTAGGAGGCAAAAACTATTTTGCAGGCCCTAAACTTTCTAACAACTTAAACCTCAGCCCTAAACCCTGATCCCTCAGCCGCAAAGTTTAAAGCAAATGGCTCTGGCTCAAAGCTCCGTATAGTAACTCCAGTGTGATTGCCTGGTTACTTGCTGCCTGTACCCAGCCGCGATGACAGACGGCGTCACCGACCGCGTTGAGGAGGAGAGTGGCACGACTGTGAAGCTGGGCTGTTCTGAAGAGTCCTTTTCTGTAAGTCAGGCTAGCGCGGGTTCGAAGGGGTTCTACACAGACTTTTGCAGGGCGTATCGGGTTTTGTCGGGCTTCAAAGAGCTTAGGTTACCGTAGTGCTATGTAACTTGCTATGGATCCGGTTTATGGCAACTTAACGTCGATATTCTAAACTAGAGCCGAGGAAGAGTCAGAACTCGCCCAGCATCGATGTGGACTTTCTGGAAATGAGTATCACCAGAATGTGAAGATCATGTTGTCTTCTAGAGTCTAGGTCCCGTCCTATGGTAACTTATGGTGGATGTTCCTAACCAGAGCCGCCCAGGAAGAGTCAGAACTCGCCCAGCATTGATGTGGACTTTATGGAAAGGGGGGCATCGGAGGTCGAGTGTCACTTTGCGTTTGACTTCTATGATCCTCGCAATTGGGGCATCGTCGTTCATTGCTGGTGTTTGGGCTTCGTTTCCGGAGGCTTCAACGCCTTTCTCATGGGCGTGGTTGCAGGCTATCTGCACGTCCCCAGCGACATCATCCGAGGTCTGCAGAACATGTCCTCGCTTCCGAATGTCTTGTCAGTCTTCATGGGCGTCGTGTCGGACTCCCGCCCGATCTTCGGATATCGCCGCAGGCCCTACATGGTGTTGGGATGGCTTATAACCACAACTGCCTACTCCACGATGGCTTTGCTGGGGCTTCCCGAACCGTACTTCTGTGCGGGACCGGATGGGGGGTATCTTTACGATCGATTGCCGTGCAACCCAGATTCTGATTATTTCTACGTGCCCTTGGCGATTTGTCTTTTCTCCGCCAACATCGGCCTATTGGTGAGTGGAGCTGCGGGTCGTGGGCTTATAGTCGAGTATCCTGCTTGCACTTAAGGTTTGCAAAAAGGGTTTTCGGGTTCCAGTTTGCAGGTTTTAGCGTTTCCACTCCTGCACCTCCGCTGAAACACCGGTAAGGTATGCAAAGGCTGAAGACGAGGAGTGCCGTGGCCGAACGCAGACGTTCCTCGAAACTCAGCTTGCCAACGTTTCAACGTCTTTTTTTCTCCTCTGGTACAGTTTCGAGAGTGTAGCCTTAAATTCGAGGCCCTGATGCCCTCAACCCAGAATCCCTAACGAGGAAGAATCAGAAGGTTGTTTCTGTGCTTTTTGGGGAAATGAGGAGATGGTCGGTTTGGTCGGGTCGTTTTCGGCGCTGATGGTGGCCGGTTTCGGCTTCAACGGCAAGCTGTTCAACGGCTCCTGGGATCAGCGCTACCAGCTCGGTTACAGACAGTATGTCTCCATTTTCGCCGTGGTCTCCATGATTGCAGGCTTGTCCTGCATTCGCCATGTTCGCGAGGTGCGAGGGAGCCGTGTCTCCATGCGGCAGTATTTCCATGCAGCATGGAGTCTCTTTCAAAGCAGGGCGGTGGCCGGCGTTGGTCTCTTCTACTTTATAAGGGGAGTGATCGCGAAACTCTTCACCACAGCGGGCATGTGGGTCATGATGGAGTGGGCCGGTGTGAAGAGCTTGCAAATGCAATTGTGCTCCATGCTTGGGGTCTTCGCATCCTTGTTTGGCAGCTGGCTCTTGCAGAAGTACATGCTGAATGTCAGCTGGCGAAAGATCATGGTGGTCGCCACGGTCGTTGGTGTTGCTTTGGATGCCATTCCGACGTTTCTGACCATCTTTGGTGTGGTGCGAAACGAATACTTCTTCCTCGGTGAGTCTGTCGTCAGCGCCGTGCCTGAGTCCATGGCAGTTCTTGTCAGCAGCTTCATTGTGAACGAGTTGGCCGACAGTTCCAATTGTGGCCTGATGGCGGGGCTCTTCACGACCATCAACAACGTGGCAAATCCGTTGGGCTTGCTGCTGGGGAACCAGATCTTCGGGTTGTTCCAGCCAGCGCTTTACGATCAAGCCAACTTCGTGGAGGATACGCCGGCCTTCCGCCGGACGGTGGGCTTCTCTTACGGCCTGACCTATGCCCTCATCCTTGTGCCGCTCTTGATCCTGCGTTTGCTTCCGAGCCAGAAGATCCACGCTCAAAGACGCAAGCGGGAATGGAGGCACAGGTGCTACTACGCCGTGGTGGCAGCGATTGTGTTGAGTGTGTCGCTCCTGTACACATTGGTGGGTGACGTCTTCGATATGGACCCAGTCTTGGCCTGCCACAGGTTCGTGGGCGGCGGGGGCTGCAACCAGGCAGCTAAGCTGTCTGACCCTTCTCAGGATTGAGATTCGTGGTTGTTTCATCATGTTCCTAGCCCCCCATCACCATCAACGACCATCACGGATAGTATGGTAAGTCAGCGCACAGGGTCAGAGCAGTCGAGCTGGCTTTTAGTAACAATGCGACATGAGATCATGGCGTGCAGACGATTTGGAGGCATGCTGACCATGACCCGAGATACGACTCGTATTGGGGTTGGGCCGAGTAGAAGAAGCTTTGCGCAAGCCTCGTTTCGCATGCTTCCTGTCGCCGCGCCCTTTTCTCTCGTTGCAGAGAGTGCGAGGTCGAGGTCGTAAGGTCTCTGCGAACCTCCGGCACCCCAGAGGGATATACATGAGCTTTCTCGCCAGTTCGCAAGAGACCTTGCCTTCTTCGCGACCTTGTGATTTGGTTTTGAAGCAAAGTATCCGAGAGGCCTGGGAACCTCGAGGGGCCCCCGTCCTGGGCCTTTCTGTAAAGAGACGACAGGATCTCGGATTGTACAGGTCGACCTGACCCAAGGGGTCATTTATAGGATCCGGCTTTGGACCCATGGGGCCTTAGGGCGTAGGACCCTTAAGGCGTAAGGTCAGGCAGTACCGAACTCGACGGACATCGAGTGCCGCCCACACTGGGCTTAATTAGGGAAAGAAGGGTTGCTGTATGTGCAGCCACCTTCCCAGCATCAGGATGTCTCCCGGCATCAGGTCCGCACACTGTGCGTCTTCCAGCTACTTTCTCATTCCTGTGCTACGATTCTGGCAGACGTCCGGAAAAGAAGAGGAAGCTGTTGCTCAGAATTTGCCCCACATGGCGTGTCACTTACCTTGTGGACTGTACCCTTAAACCCTAAACGTAGCCCCTACTGCAGGCGGTCCTCCACACACTGGGCGGCTCGCTCCAGAGGTCTCCTTCTACGACTCGACCTTCCGTGTGCCTCGTCAAACCCTAAACCCCTAAACCCTAAACCCCAAAACCCCTAAACCCCTAGACCCCTAGACCCCTAGACCCCTAGACCCCTAGACCCCTAAACCCCTAAACCCCTAAACCCCTAAACCCTAAAACCCTAAACTGTGTCTGGGGGTCTCAGTCTTCAACTTGGGGTCCCTTGCAGGATGCATCTACCCTAAACCTAAGCTCTAAAGCCTGACAGTTGGGATCCCCTGATGTGGGCCTATGTAGGAACCCATCGAAGTTCAAGGGATAATGCCTACTATTCCTGTTCTGGGTCTGGGTGCTAAGGTTCTGTAAAATCCTGCCTTCCCCAATTTAGGGGTTCAGGGTTGGGATCCAGGGTTTTATGGTTTAGGGATATTTAGGGTCTAGCGCGGCAGCGTGTAGGTCCTGTGTTCTTGCTGGCACGTTGCTGTGTGTGTGTGTGGGACTGAGGGAGAGACGTGGGTGTGTGTGTGTGTGTGTGTGTGTGTCTGTGCACGTGTCCGTGTGTATAATGTGTCTAGATAGGTAGTCACTAGGTCACTAGGTACTTCACAATCTCTCACTGCCTCTCCGTCCCTCGTTCTCCACGTGTTTGTATGTGCACACAAACGCATGTATACACACACATCCTGTTACGTCCATAGACGGCTAAGCCTTTAAGCCCTTGACCTCAGGCCTCGAAACCTTCTCTGTCGACGGTGGAGTTCGGTTGACGGTATGGGGGCCCCCACTCCAGACTTCGGTTCTTGCCCGTGGCCAGGTTGTCAACAGCAGGGCAGGCGGAGGGACGTGCGCCCTGGATGAAAGGTTGGGGTGTGATTGCCTTGCTGAAGGCTCAAGTGGCGTAATATATGGGCCTAAATAATGACCAATACTATTTGGTGTTTCCTTATTGTAAGTACAGTACAATGGGCCCCAAGACCCCATTCGAATTATTAACTCCCCTACAGGAGGGTTTGCTGCTGCGAGCCTCTGAGGGATTCAGCGAGTGGGAGAGCTTGAGGGTAGTAATATTAAGAATAATATAAATACGATTACTAATACTAATACAAATATTAATATACATACTAATATAATAAGAGTTGGACTCTACAGTGTCAGGGCTTTGGTTGCGAGGGCTTTTGGTGTAGTTTGGGTCAGGTTGAGATTCGGGTGTCCCAACTCAGGCCCTAGTTGAATGCCAAACCTGAGGAAGGAGCCTGAGGAATAGTACAGATAGTTGAGGCTCCGATGCTGCTACCAGTAGTGTGACACCCCCCTGCCCAACCAACGGTTAGTTGCGAGCATTCCGGATAGCCCAGAGCAGGTGACATTCCCTTCAACCCCTCTTACTGTAAAGCTCCAGGATGGCAACGAGGGCAATTGATATGTTTGCAGCACACGTGTGGTGTAATCATAATCTTCACAATCCCCCCCTGTGATTATAGGACAGAACTCATGAACCCGCACGCTGAAGCGGTCGGAAATATCATTCATATACTAATTGAAAGTTCCTGTACAGACCCCCCACCCTCTTCTAGTTCTCAAGGCATCCACATATCACCCTTTACAGGAACCCCCACAGGTTGTGGGTTTAGGGGTCCCACTGGTTTGCATTCCCTGTCCCTTGATGCTTCAGTGTGAGCCCAGTTATAAAAGGGGAGCCTTCAACCCTGCCTGATAGGCATTCTGACTAACAGGAGACTGCCAGACGCAAACGAGGGCTCCAAAGCAAAGTCCCAACACCAGAGGCTCCGATGATTCCAGCGCTGGCAGACACTGGAGCTATTTAGCGGGCGGTGTCGGTGTAGGGTTTGGGTTTTAGGGTGCGTGTTACCTCAGTCCGTGCTGAAAGGGTATGTGTTGATCCGTTTTTGCAATCTGGGGTAGCCGTGTGGCACGAGCCCACAGCACAGTCGGCACCTCGGTTCCTGGCATATGCATAGTCCCGGTGTAAGGGCGTGTGCATGTGTGTCTTTCTATTTCTGAGTGTTTCCCCTATTTTCTCTGTTTGTGAATACTGAGTGTTTACAGTTTAGGGGCTTGTGGTCTCAGGACTTTGATTTAAGTAAGGCTTCGCTTGCTTGAAGGCCTCCAATTTTGGAGGCCCCGTGCAGGTGCTCTCCAGAAGTCCTGCGTCCGGACCCTGCGTCGACCCCGAACCCCTAGAGCTCTAAGCCCAACGCAGGGGTGTACAATTATCCATAAACCTGAGTCGAAATCCTAAACGAGCCCTAAACCCTGAGCCCTGAACCTAGTCCCTGACCCCTGAGCCCTGTTCGAACTACTCTCTGCTACGTCCCAAAGACAACCGAGGATCTAGAGCCTCCGGCGAAAGCTGCCGGGGTGGCACCTCGGTTGTACTCACACTGTGCTATACGATACTAAATCATTATACCATACCATGCCATACCATGCTTTACTCTGCTATTGTTACCGTTCTACAGTAAGTATGCTGTTGCCGTTTCCTGTTTCCATTGCACTTAAATCTCTTCGACATGGTGGTTCGCTTGCACCTGATTACGGTGAGACTGAAGAACCGAAGTTAGTGAGTGTCGCACCGTAGTGCTTTGCACACCAGTTTGATGACGCTTCAAGGGCATCCAGTCAGGGGCGGGTAAGCATGAAGTCGTGGTGAGGTGGATGTAGATAACGAAATCGGGTCACCGCTGACTGCTTCGTGAAACTTCCGGAAACAGGAGGCTGAGGTGAACTAGTCCAGAGATAATGTTTCGCGATTTGGCGAGTGCGAGTGACAGTAAAGCATAGCCCAAAGTCCTCGTGCTGCCCACAGCCAGTGACCTTCCATGTAGTTCCGAGCGGTTGTCAACAGAAGCAACAAAAACTATGCTGTACGGTAATATTCTATACTATACACTGCCATACTATACTATAAGCTACACTACACTATACTATACTCTACTTCATCATGGTATGCTATCGTTTCATGACTATGCCATACTATGCTAGTACCGTGCTGTACTATACTGTATGAGATTACCGTAAGGGATGGTGTGCGGGTTTGCTTTGCGCCCTCGGGGTCGTAGGATCTGTGTTTCAGGGTTTTTGGGGGAAACACCGGTCTTCTGCAAGCCCCTCGCCTCATTGCAAAGTATGTCGCGACAAGCCAGTGGGGCTCTACGCTAAACCCTAAACGCCTCTTGTATCCCTGAGTGTGAGCATCAAAAAACCACCTCTCAAACCCTAGACTCCCAAGCCCTAAATCCCGAAACTCTAGGATTCGAACATCGCAACCGAAGCAAGCCTGTGCTTCGGCAAGAGGTGTAGGGATGTGTGCACTTGTTCTCCAACCTTCCAGCAACTGCCACCGAATGACCCGAGGGTTTAGGTGTTTTGGGGTAGGCAAGGTCCCTGCAAGCCCAGTGAACCCTATTAATTGGGCTTAGGGCTTGAATCTCACCTCGATCTTGACTTCAAAGGTCACCATCCTCACAGATCCTAGCAAGAGCACCCTGCCATCGCAGAAGGCGCGGCAAAGGCAGCTTTTCGGAGCGACTTCATGTATAGGGTTTAGGCGTTCGTGGCATAGATGCAGGTGTGCAAGCATTCCTGGAATGCTACAGGCTACATGGTCAGCACAGCAAGCCCCAAGACTGATCCAAAGCTCTCAACCTGGCCGATGTGGTGGAGGCTTCTCTCGAGAATCCGTGCCCGCGACGTGCGAGTGAGAGACGAAACCTTCAAACCCCTGAACCATTAAACGCCCAAAAACGCCTTCCTTAGACCCTAAACTGAGATTCGAGTTTACAAAACGTTTGAACCCCCTAAAGCCCCTAAACGCCCAAGCCCAAGAAAAGGCCGAGACTCCAAACTGAGAATTCGGGTTTTCGGTTTCGTGGCTTCTGCGTATAGCCGGGGAGTTGGTCGTGGTGAGCACCTGCTTTGGTTTGTAGGCTTTAGGGTTCAGGCTTTTGAGGGTTTCGGGCATAGGGCATCGGGTTGAGGGCTTAGGAGGAGTTTCGATCTGCAGGATTTGGGAACTAGCGGACCCGAAGCGATCGGCCCTCCACACTTGGACGCTTTCGAAGAGATCCAGCGGAAGAAGAAGAAGCCCGATTGTAAACCCACGCGCACACACCTTATTCCGAAACGTCAAGGCTTGTTCGATTCCACCTGTTGTGCCGTGATTTGCGTGCCATCGAACGGGCTTCGATACCAACCTTCCCAATTGTGTTAGTAGTTCCCGATACTTGTCGCCAGTATATCCATACAGGGTGCTCCCACTGGTCCCTTGCTTCAACGGACCCATAGAATATCCACCGCATCTCAACCAAAAGCCCTAAACCCTGAACTAACGCAAGCCCTAAACCTCCGGCCCTGAACTGCCCTAAACCCTAAACCCTTAAACTGCCCTGGGCCCCAAGTCCTCCTCCGGAACCCTTAAAGGAACTCTGAACGGATCCCTGAAAGGCAACCTGAAACGAACTCTGAAAGGATCCCTTAAACGAACCCTTAAAGGGATCCCTTAAAGGAGCCCTTAAAGGATCCCTAAAAAGGGACACTCTTGCCTTCCCTTGTGCAGTCGTTGGAGAGCTTAGAGCAGACCGTGGCCGTCCTGCTCTCGAGTGCGCTGAGCATGCGGAGCCACGGCTTGGGTTCTAAGGGCTTCTTTAAAGGAGCCCATGGAAGGAACCCTTATAGTAACCCAAGTAGCCCGAAAAAGGAACCCTTGTAGTACCCTTATAGTAACCCTTTACAGGAGCCGGAGGGGTTCCTTCAGGAACTACTATGAAGTGTGTGTGCATATTAAGGGTACGATTCAGGGTTCCGTGATTTGGGGTCCAGGGTTCACGTTGCAGGGTTTGGGGTGTAGAGCGCAGGGTGTAGAGTTTACGGTGTCAGGTTGTAGCTTTTTTGTTAGCTCCAGGGTGCAAGGTCTAGGGTCCCTATCTTCTTACAAAACCGGGCTCTACAGCTAGACTTCTCCAATCCCTCAACCCTACGAAGCCGTACTAGGAACTCCAGGGCATATTGTAGGGGTCCGACATAAAGCATTAATAGTCCTTTTCAATCTCGTATGAGTGTAGCATAACATACCCGAAGCCTTGTTCCATCTAGATTCGGTCCTTCCATCGGAGTATCGGCCGCTTTTTGAACCACCTTGATTCCGAAGGAACGTCATGCTTTGCCGCGGTGCGCTTGCGATGCTCTGCCATGCTGCTTGGGCACTGCCGGCCCCAGAAGCTTGGCTTTCATCGGGGGCGCTTCTGGCTGATCTGAAGCCTAGGACCTAGGAGTTCAATCCGTGGAAATATGCCTCGTCTGGATTGTGATACCTGTAGGGTCTTGACTTCACACCCGATAACCGACTTCTTCCTCGTTTCAGCCCCTGGGTAGCATCCTCTGTCAAGAGAGTCCAGTGCAGCCCACAATTTACAGACCCCCCCACTTTATGGCCCTGAACCCTAAACCCCAACCAAGCTCAGTGGACTTAGCGCCTGAAGCCATGCCTGCCTTGTGCGAGTGTGTGAGTCGAAACCCTAACCTTACCCACGTATGGCAGCGAAATGAGAATCCCTAATATAGAAGCCTTAATAACTACCAATACTATTGTGGGGGGCTCCTTATTATGATTATAGTACAATATACCCCAAAGCCCTATTCTAATCACTACGGCCCCTATATTCAGCAGCTCCCTTGTCTCCGTACTCCCAGGATGCTTAGACCAGCTCGTGGCCCCAAAGCTCCCAGCTCCCAAGCAGACAGACCTAGAACAAACATAGATCATTACAAAAGTACGTATACATGTACATGTACATGTACATATACATATACATATGTATATATATACATATGTATATATATACATATGTATATATATATATATATATATATATATATATACATGTAGTACATATGCGTATTTACATGTATATGTATGTATGCATGCATGTATGTGTGTGTACACATGTACGACATAACAACTCTAAGCTACTCTACACCTTGGAGTCCTCACGACTCGAGTTTGGTCTCTAGGCCTTCGAGCCACAACGTTGCAGGTTGAAGGCAAGCTTCAATGCATTATGCTTCACCGATTGACGAGCTGTCTTGATCGAAGCCTTCGCAGAAGGCGAAGCCCTGCAGCTTGAACCTAACACGTGAGGTTGCCACCTCACTACCACTCTTCCACGATGCGCTTTTGGCTTTCGCGGTGCAGAGTTACGAAGAGGTTCCACGGGGTTAGAGGTTGGCAACTTCTTCGTGAAGCATGGTTCAAGTTCGACTCTGGGGTTAAGGGTCTTGGCACCCAAAGCGCACATTTTCTAAGAAATCTCCCTACTGAGGGATATGTAGAGTACCTGCCGCTTCCCTAATATGCTAACTTACAGTAGTCGTCCTTCCTTGAGAAGTGAAGAGTGACAGGTCAGCAACTATGGAGAGACTTTGGCCGGTAAGTTACTCCAGGACCTTACTCCCTTACTCCCACACCCTAAACCCTAACCCCAAACCCCCTCTCGATTCGCCTGGCCGGGTCCGTTTCCTCAACTCCTTGAGCCCAGGAGCCGCGCATGCTAGCTCGAAGCTCTTGACCATGAGAACTGAACTCCTCCTAAACCCTAAACCCTACACCCTAAACCCTAAACTCCACTAAGTTTGGCGAGAAAAAGCCGAAGACCCGGGCATGGACCCACACCCTAAATACCTTCACAGACTGAAACAGAGCCCTAAGCCCTCAAGCTCGCAAGAGAAACACGGTGCTCTAAGGAAAAACTGTTCAACTCTGAACCCTAAACCCAAAAGCATCCCAAATCCTTGCGTCTCGTGTTAGACCGCCAGGCCAATGGCCATTTCGCCCATGCAAATAGCCTCGAGGCCACCGCAGAGGCAGAGGGGTTCAGCTCCATGGGCTTTTCAACGGCTGTGAGGGTTTGTGGATTAGGAATTAGGTGGTTTAGGTCGTGGTTTTGTAATTCAATTTGAAGTTGTCCCTGACGATAGAATTAGGCGAGCTTAAACGGTGTCGCAGGCTTGAAATCTGAATCATTCTGCACTCTCTTTCCGATTCCCTTCTTTCAGCTTCCTTCAGCCTCCTGCGTCAATTCGATGCTTCTTCAGACGTCCGGCCGCAGCCAGTGACTCAAAGGGCCCAAGGTTTTTGGAAGCAGGCATTGAGGGTTTGAAAGAGTGTTCCTTCGACATAATGATTTTTCGACTTGGTTGCAGTATGTATAACACCAAGCGGAATTTACAAATATTCAATTCAACTGCTTTTACCTTCGGGTCTCGCTTGTTCAAAGGCTTTGAGGGTCTAAACTCTCAAGCCTAATGTCCCTGTATATCTAGATCCGCGAAACCGTGCAGACCCAGAGAATCCATTCTTTTGTGCCCCTAGAGTCTCTTGGCAAGTTCGAAATACCGCATGAAACAATTACTAAGCCTGTAGTAACCTGTAAAGAATCCCTACCAAACCCATGAAACCCAATGTCTGTAACCACCAAAACCTAAGCAAGAGGGGAACAAACCTATGCCCGAAGCCCAAACATACGTAGGAGCCGGGCACCAGAGCTCTCGGCGCCGGCCCAGCCATGCAGGCACTGCTGGCGAGGACCCCCCATACGGGACAAACCCTCAACCTCGCCGAATGCCGAAACCCTCCACCCTAAACTCTCAACCCGCAACTCTCAACCTAACCCCCCAACCCCAACCCTAAAGCCTCAAGCCTAACCCTTACCCCTAAGAGGTGGAATGAGGGAAAGGGGCAGGGTATAGAGGCTCGAGGCATATTGATTTGGCTTTGGGGCACCAGAGTAGGTCAGGTCTTTTGCAATGGGCCTTGTGGGTTTTTGTGGATTTTCCTCGCGGCTTTGCAAGGGTTCGGTAGGGCTTAAGAGGGGTTGCCCTGGCTATTTCTACTTCTCTTGCAGAAGCAGCATTCGGACAGGGGTAGAAGTTCCAGCTTCTCGGACACGTAGGAAGCAGGAACTGCAGCATAGGCATCTTCTCTCGCCTTGTCCTGTCTACACCCCTGCCGCTGCCCCACTTGATATCTATGCGCGAAGTTCCCGCATCTTACAGTCGTAAACCCCATGAACGCCTTTGTCGTGAACCTTCTAAACTTTTCAAACCCATACTGAGGAAGTGTGCTGATCCTGTACAACCCGGTAACAGGCCCCCCCCTCCCCCTTAGAATCACAACAGCTGCATCACAGACCGGGATGATCGGAGCAAGAACGGTGCTGGGGTGTGCGAGAAGGCCCCGAAAGGCCCAATCAGCCCAATCAGCTCTCCGGATCAGAAGATTCGAAGCCCGAACCCTGTAAAGCCCAAGAGGCTTCGTTCGACTCTGAGCTCTTCAAGCCTAGGAACCATCGGAAAGCTGCAGCCTCCCCAAGTTTACGGCGCAAACAGGACCTGGCTTGAGTCGGCTGTGGAGGTGTGGGCCGACTTTGCCGGGTCGGGCTTAAGGTCTAGAAGGGAGGGTTCTACTTGGCGTTCTTCTGGTTGGCTCTTAGGACTTTAACTTTTTGGGTCTCTATATGAACCATAATAAGGAGGCTAAAAGTTTAACTTTTTGGAGGGGTTCAGAAGTCAGCCAAGTCTTTGTTAGGGAGCTTTCTATCAGCTACCCTGATGAGGAAGGCATGGTATTTTTCACATACTCATGTTACGGTACGTTTGTTTAGGTTTCTTAACAAGAACCCAGTGGTAAGGAACATGTCGGATCCGCACATTCGCCTCTGCCTTCTCACTGCTTTGGCATGTTAATCTGTCCTTGTAGGCCTGGGCAATATAGGAGTCTGAATAGTTACCACTACTCGGCCTTAGGGCGGGGCTCTCTACTCATGACCTCAGACAAATGCACCCAAACCCTGTTCAAACCACTAAGACCCCGATACTAACCTCCTTATGGTATCCCTTAGTAGTACCGATAGTACCCCTTAAATACAGGAACCCTTAACGAGCCCTCACCGCATCCGAAGTTGGGGGCCAAGAAGCCGAGCTGAGCGCCAGGCTCGGGATTTGGAGGCAGTGGAGGCATGGCTCGATGCGCACGAGGAGCCGGAGCTGTCAGTTGCTTTCTTTTTTTGTTTAAACGTTTTCGTGCAGAAGGATTGGGATTCTTGATATCGTTTCTCATGCTTTGGGGTTTTTGTGCAAGAAGTTCTGTTAGAATGGATTTACTGATGATTCTTCCCGTATTATGAGGGTTCAGGGTTGAGGCGTTACAGGTTTATACATGGGTTCAGGGTGTGGAGGTTGTTGCGTGAGCGTTCCTGCCAGAACACACAGCAGGAGTGTAGGGAGAAGCTGTCAGTCGAAACTGTGGCCCCTATCTATGAGTAGATGAATAGATCTGGAAGACGACATGGTGTCTGTTTGCGTGCTGGTGGTTGGAACTTTGAGTGCTGCAGGTTCATGCAACGAGAGTTCTATGTTTGCTCCAGTAGCTGCTGTCATTAGAGTAAGCATTCTGTATTACTTGATCGCTTGCCCTGTGCTCTATCTGATAGCGAGTGAAGTCATCTCTCTTTACTTCCCACTTCCCAGAGCTTGAAATCCGAAGCAGGACAGGCAGCACGTTTCGGAGGCCTTCGTGGCCTATGCGCGTGCCTACGAGCAGCTGCTGAAGCAGCGCCTCGTCGTCTCAAGGTTTTCGAACTGCGAAATCGGAGTTTCCAAAAATTAGGGGTACAGTACCTTGTTTGCGGGTCCTTATAGTAAGGGTCCTACTATTTCGGGTGCTGCATTAGGGTCCCCTATTTTCGGAAGCTCCCATACCTAAGACTTATACGGCCTGGGCCCAAAGCTCCAGCTGGGTGGTTGTCAAAACTATGGATCCTTTTTGGGTACCCTACGTATCAGGTGCGGTATTGTGTTAGGGACCTAAAAAGGGACCCTAATTTTGACAACCCAACCACCCAGCTCGAGTCGTGATGTTTCTGATAGGTGGATGAAACACCAGGCGTATGACCTTGTGCCCAAACGATCTCACATCTAAGGAACCTGATATGTTCCGTACTTGCGGGGTGCTGGGCTCTCTATTCTCCCAATAATCCCACAGGGACCTGCCTGAATGAACCCAGAAGCCCTAACACAAAAACACCTCGGCCAAAAGCTGCAGGAACTGGACAGGGTGCCAGCACGCCGTCGCCCAGGCGAAGGCGGCCGCCGCGGGCGCCACGACAGAGAGTGGGGCTTGCTATGGTCGCTTTTCGGAGCTTTGTATTGTCTATTTTGCTTAATATTGATAATCTCTGGGGCGTTTAGGATTTCGGGGCATTGGGTTTTAGCTCTTAGGTACGTTATGTACGGGTTTTGTGGTTGCAGGTTTTTTCGGCGGAGACTTGAGCATTTTGGGGGTACTGGAGCATTCATCCCTGAAGGTTTTGGGGCCGCACCGGCAGCCTCGGGCAAGAAAAGGCCACAAGCAGCCCAAGTCTAGACCGAACCCGGACCATGATTCCTCCATGCTGGCTATGGCTCTTAAATCCCAAATCCTCAAATTTTCGGCCCTAAGCCCTCAGTCAGTCCGAGGCGATCTGACTGTGGAAGCACATGCAGACCGTGTCGACAGCATCGGCCGACTGTCCAGGCTTGTGGCTAAATCAATTGGTCGCTCATCCTTGCTCGGAGCCCCGCCAAGTTTAAAGACACAATCTTAAGCCCTTGGCGTAACGGGACTCAGAAGCAGGCTTGGATAGTGATACTTCTAACGATCTTACAAATCGTAAGAATGGCAATGAAAGAGCGATAGCAGTTACATAGGTAGTAATCAGAAACAACAGTAACAGTAGCAACACTAGCAACAATAGCAATAATCCTAGTAACCCGTACAGTAGTAAACAACAATCAAGGTAATACCAGTAGTAAACAGTGATAAAGATATCACTACTCATAACGGTACGGATAATGGTAATCATGATGTTGATATTGAGAATGATAATGACAAGGGTGATATATAGCTATGATAATGGCAAAAAATACTGATAGTCATGGTAGTAGTCGCAATAATAGTAACAATAGCAACAACAGTAATGTCAGCAACACTGATAATACGGCAAATTCCAACAACAGTAGCAGCGGTAGCAACAGTAGTCGGTGTTGTAGTAGTTAGTAGTAATAAACGTGGTGATAGTAACAATAGTACGACCTGCAATAACAGTAACATGGCACTGTAGTCGAGTATGATATACCTATGCAGGAACTGTAGGAGGATACCTCTTACGAATCATTCAGACCGGTAAATACACGCATATATGCATTTTGATGTGTGCTTCTGTGGCCTGGCCCCGCTAACACATCATCCCCCAAAGTTCTCGTAGAAGTCTTAAGCGAGCTTAAGCGCACACCCACCGACAAACAGCCAACATACGCCCACCTAGCCAGTAAATCCCACTTCGCCCTGCGAGGTGGGACGACCTCCATTCCCTCTTTCTGGTTGAGACAGTTCCGGCCTGAGCATCGGCTGTGTGAGTTTTTGTCAAGGGTTTGGGATAGGGAAGTTTGCGGCTTAGGGTTTGGTGAGACTCACTTTGAATTCACTGGACACCAGGGGATAACCAGTGTCATCGGAGATGCCATCCCCATACCAACTCAGCCAAGCCCTTTTCGCATGTCATATTGTTGGTGTCGAGAGCCAAAGGTCCTAAAGACAAGCACTGTAAAGCGTCACGTCGGACTAAATGCTTAAACTCTCCACATCAAGCCCGACGTCTGAGTCTGAAGCTATCCAGCCTGAAACTATCACGACCTGCAGGCTCCGAACCTTGTGAAACCAGCACCAAGAACTACAAAAACCCTTAAACATCACCTAACTCCCCAACAACTTTACGGCTTAGGGTTTAGGTTTTTGGGCTTAGAGAAACCCTGATGAGCTCGTTGATAAAGGAAAGCTTTCTAAATGCTCCCAAAACGCCCCCCCCCCCCCCGAGGCAGTGGAGCTCCGCTGTGCGGAGGCCGGTGGAGACATGCGGCGCCTGGAGGCCACGCTGGCTCAGGCCGGAGCTTTCTTGCTTTTGAAAGGGGCTTTAGAGGGGGTTTCCTAGGGTTCGTCTTGCTTTGTATAGAGTCCCGAGCCAAATCCCAGAAGTCCCTAGAATCCCCTAGCGTTCGAAGCCCCCTCTGTTTCGGATCCGGGAAAAAAGCTCAAAGAACGCAAAGCCTTCCACCACCACCACCACCGCCACCAGAAGCTCTTAGATGTTAAACTCTCCTAAACCAGTTCAGATGGTTGTGCAGCTGTAAAAAGGGGCTCAGAAAATTTTTCCTAAACCAAAAAACAGTACCGAGAACTCTTTTGGTGAGTGCCAGCCCCCCCCCCCCCCCCCCCCCCTGCGAGAGGCGCGCTGGGGACTCGAGGCAGAGGTCGCTGATGGCTGCCTTTAGGGGCTTTAAGGGTTCCCTGAACGGCTGCTTTTGGGGGCTTTAAGGGTTCCCTGCTTTAAGGGTTCCCTCAAGGGCTGCGTTTAGGGGCTTTAAGGGTTCACTGAAGGGCTGCTTTTAGGGACTTTAAGGGTTCCCTGAAGGGCTGCTTCTAGGGGCTTTAAGGGTTCCCTGAAGGGCTGTGTTTAGGGGCTTTAGGGGGTTGTGTGTACGTGCGCACGTCACAAGATTTATTGCCGCCGTGTACGCGGGCACTTGCATGCACAGAGACGTGTACATATCTGCATGCATGTGAGCGCACCTGCAGGCTTTTTCGGTGTTTGACCGTGTGCCTGGGCATCAGTGCATGATTGTATCCAGCCGTTCCCTCTGTCTCTACCGGCATGTTGTCACGGCTTGATATGCATAGCTTAGAATTAAGCAGCCGCCAGGGGTGTGTTAATGTGCTTTCGTGACGTTTCACTTCGCACTGGGTCCAACAGTGACAGGTCTCAGATGCGCGGATGCTCGGTTGTTGCCTGCGTTTTTTCGATTTGGATTCGGGTTTTTCGAGAGGTGTCGGGCTTGATGCTCTCTGTCGGACTCCATGCCGACAGATGCCAGATAAACTTTAAGTCACAATCAAGCTCCCGTGACGCAGAATCACCCTGAACACGTGAAACCTGTCACATGAAACTCTTATTCGTGTTGTCCTTGCAGATGCTTGGTATAGAGGTCAGGAGGTGCACTGCAGGGGTGAAGAGCGACAAGCCAAGAGTGGAGCCATTGAATTTGGGCCCCAAGCCATAATCCCTCTGTGAGCGCCGAAACCCTTAAACTCCTAGCTCCCTATAAGCCCTGAACCCCTTAAACTCCTAGACCCGTAAAACGCAAAGCCTTAAACCCCTCGACCCTAAACCCCTAAACCCCAAACAGGTCTCCGGCCGCTGCGCCGTGGAGCCATGCCTGCTTGCCTCGGCACTGCAGGCAGCAACGTGTGAACGCCGTACCAGAGAAAAACAGTGTCCGAGTAAGTACTAGTGCTCAGGGTTCTTTCTCATAATTTGCAGTATATTGCACGCCAAAGCCCTATTCTAATTGAGACCCTATGGCCGAAATACTAAGTTAGAGAACCCTAAACCCCCTAAAGCAAAGGATTCCTTGTTGAGTCCGTCTGGTGATAAGTGCCAGTTGCTTGTTAACGAAGGACCAGGATTGCTACAGACCTTGCCAGGCTTTGTCCGAGTGTGAGTGTCAAAGAAAAACCCCCTAAATCCCCTGAACCCTAAACCCCCTAAACCCAAAAAATCCCCTAAACCCTAAACCCCCTAAAGCCCAAAAAATCCCCTAATTCCCCCAAAACCCCCTAAATCCCCTAAGACTAAGTTAGGGAACCCTAAACCCCCTAAATCCCCTAAACCCTAAACCCTAAACCAAAAAACCCTAAACCCTAAACCCTAAACCCCCTAAATCCCCTAAACCCTAAAAGGGGACGGCCGCATGAACCCGAACTCTCGCCAAACATAACCGGAACTCCGTTTGTGTGCTTTTCTGTGGGTTGGGGGATGAGACAAATTCAGCTTTATATTGATGTGGGGTGTCGGTCAAATTCAGAGTTACATTGATGTGGGGTGTCGGTCAAATTCAGACTTACATTGATGTGGGGTGTCGGTCAAGCTTCGGCATGCATTTGGGCTGAGGTGCAACATGTGTGCATTAAGTCACATCCATGTGCATGCTAGTACAGTCGCACACGGCATGCTGGCATGAAGCTCAACCTAGAACAAGCACATGTTGCTTAGGGTGTGCATCGGATGTATAGATCATGGTTGCGCATTAGATCTAGGATATCCCTAGCCTAGAATAGGTCAACTTGTGTCGACGTGGGCCATGTCGTCGGAGAGCACTGACAATGATGCCTTAAGCTCGGGCGAGACGAGTCGCTCGCCGACGGTCCTAGACGAGAGTGCGGAAACCTGCTCCTACGATTCCTCTGAGTCCTACTCAGAGTACTACTCGCAATGCTACGACTCTTCGTCGAGCGAAGACAATCTGCCGGACTGGTCGGAAGCCAAAGCCCGAGCCAAGCAACTTAGTAGCAATTCAATCATTGTGTTGTCCTGAATCTTATCGTGTCCAGCATCAGCCACGACATTGATGATTGCTGCACTTGCAAGCTCAGGCGTGATCCTGTCAAAAGCCACCGACTGAATGCTAAGCAGCGCGCATATGTATCTGGTTGGGCAAACTCCATGCTCTGCCGCACTGGACACTCTTAATCATTATGGATGCCGGTGTGACTTTGTTTGGCCGCACAGCAAGTCACGTACTTCATTAAGGAATGTTGGGAAGGGTGAAACGCTTTCTGAGCTACGATTTCCCCGTGATGTCCGACTGTGCCTTGGATGACAACTCACACTAAAGTCAGTGTTTCAGGGGTTTACATGCAAAGATCGCTGTCACTGTCACCGTGTTTGCTGCTTGGGGCTTTCATGCCCATATCAAGGTTCTGGCGCCGAGGGTGGAATTCTGGCTTTGCAGGCGCTGGGCATCAAGGCGAGGCTGAGGATGATGTACTCTTGTGAGCACAGTCGCGCGAGAACATCCCACAACCAACTCATGAGGTAGACCACATCAGCAGTTCTGAGATTAACTGCATTGCTACGGACTTTATCGCTCGGAATTTCCAGCCCCGTCTGCTGCTTTGCCTGCCTGAGTATTATAGTTCTTGTGACCAGAGGCTAGATAAATGTAGCAGCATGTTACCCCAACTGCATGTGTCCCTATACAAGGTTCTACCCTGATGTTTGTGACCGGCAGCTACATCGTCAAAACTATCGATGCGGTGCACTCATCGCCGGCTTCCCTTGCCAGCCGCCGCTTGGCCACAGCCTGTCATGTTGGTCCATCATGTCAGCATGAGTCTCAACATTCAAAGTTCATCGACACCAGGTTTTCTGTGCTACGGACGGAGAGTGATCTTCTGGATGAAGAGGACTGGCAATTATTCTAAGTTCGGGGTGGGCAACTCTCGGTTGTGAGCTTCTGGCTGCTGTTCTGTGTTTGGTGCACTCCAATTGGGATGCAGTCGGTGAGTCCACAGGCTGCAAGACCCTTCTTTGCCATCGTGAAAACGATTGGCGAGTCACTTGGCCAGTCTAGCTGGTTGCTATGAATCACACGCTTAGTGTACCGAGGCTTCGGGTGCCCATCTATGTGCTCGAGAATGTGCTGGGAATCAAGAAGTGCCTTCCGGCAGTTCGTGCCCGCCTAGGAACCTTGAAAGAGTATGTTCATGGCATGATGGAGATTGACAGCAAGGCGATCGGGGATGTTGTGAGCAGGCCTCGGCTGTACTTTATCGGTGTCCTCAGGCCGGGTTATCGTGTCAGCGCTGCGATTCCCCCGTTGCCTGAAAAATCATGTGCATCATGCAACGAACCCCTCAGCTACCGATTCGATGCAGGAAGGTCGCAGCCCCTGGGATCTCTTCGAATGCCAAGCTACAGAAAACCTTGGATCAGATCCTGTCAAAGGCCAAGCAGAACTGCACTCCGCCAACGCCCTGGTATGACCTGCTGCTGGACGATCCGGACCAGGAGATGCCAATCAAGAGACGCCGGCAGACGGCTTTGGATTTGCGGCACGAGTAGCTCGGCCTTGCATTTGATTGAGTGTTGCATGTCGTGACACCTGTCATGTCACCTCCCAACGAATTCCGACGCTAGGCCTATTGAGTCTAAGGCCTCATGATACAGGATTGCGATGGCCCTCCATCCACTTCCAGTTTATGAAGGACCACAAGGCCCAAGTGCACGGGTTCCCGATAACCTTCCCTCTGCTGGACCATTCTCCACTTAGGTCAACCCGAAAAAACTGGTTCGATTTGACCTTGCCCGCGCAGCCTTTCAAGACCAGAGGCGCCAGCATGTACTCCGGACGGCTTTATGATGCTGTGTTGTTCTCTTCTTCAGAGTGACTCAGAAAGTGCAAGCAACTACATTGTGGCAGCTGAGGCGATAGACATTCTGACGACATTGCATGGGAATGCCCGTGCATGTGTCAATGTTTCGCAGCAGCTGAACAGAATGCATCTGATGCGGCGTGTGATCCCGTGCCTGACACCGGGAAGCTGCCTGTACGTGATGCACAAAGGTCGGTGTCTGTCAGGCCAGGTGGTGATCCCAGTTTGCAGTTTAATGTGTTTTGAAACACAAATACTCCTTCTTGCGCGGAGGCCTCGAGATGATGCTCTTTCAGGGCTTCGACATCAGCAAGCTCAACTTGTACGGCATGGATGACAAGGACCGGGGGTTTTCTTCACAAGCAGCCTCATGCTTTCATTCGGTGAGTTTAAACCAATAGCTGCTGCCGGATTGCATTGTGGATCTGAAGATATGTAGCTTCGACTTAAGACGCATAACAGAGGGGCCCATAACATAGTGCTCGGGTGCATGTCCAACCGACCGGTCATTGATCATGCGAGGTCTCGGGATTGATGTCTGGGATTAAGTTCGAGTTTGTTGTCCTTGTTGGCAACAAACACGACATAAGTAAAACAACAACAGCTATGATTCCAATTATGGAGGTAAGTGCTAGTATAGGCAATGTGTCATTGGCATTCGCTCTGGTCCTGGTGGTGTGCCTTGTCGTTTCTATGTTTTCTCAGACACATGGGTTTCCCTCCTTCAGTTTCGCAACTGTTTCAAGTTGCATCATGTCCGGCGTCATTTGGTGCTGATGGTACTGCATTCGCTCTGGTCCTGGTGGTGTGCCTTGTCGTTTCTATGTTTTCTCAGACACATGGGTTTCCCTCCTTCAGTTTCGCAACTGTTTCAAGTTGCATCATGTCCGGCGTCATTTGGTGCTGATGGTACTGTGGGGTGTCTAGACAATTGTCTTTGTCTTTCCATTTAGCTGTCGGCTGTTGGTATCTGGGTCTTCCTGGCATCGTGGGTTCATAGTGAGTTTGCGATGGTTAGCATTAGGTCTATTAGGTCTTTCTTCAGTGATGATCGACTGAATATAGAAGCTATCCGGTTGGATTGTTGCAAAAGGGTACTGGGCAGATTGGTGATTGGTGGCTTTGGTTCATTCTGCTAAGTCTTCGTTGGGTGTTGAAAGGCATTCCCGGGGTTTCTTTCGAGGTTTCGGCTAAGCTTGCAGGGGCGTCGCTTCGTGTTTCCAGGCTTGGGCATTGCCCGTATATAATGGTCAACAGTGTTTGGAACAGGGCTTGATTCCACGACTGCAATTCAGATTTTAGTTCTGGGGGGCATGGATAATGGTGCCATTGCTAGCAAATTATCTAGTAAAGTTCGATGTTACACCTGGTGATCTCAGCTCGCCGACTGGCTTGCCGGGTTTAACGTGTCATAGTCGGGTGTAGGCAGGCAGCTTTAGATCTATATATGTTGGTAAAACATCAGACCTGGGTTCAGAATCTGACTCATGCTAGCAGTTTCGGCTCATTGAGGTTCAGTGGCTTGGCTTTAGGCCATGACATCGACTTTAATTTTGCTTACCAGCCAAAGCGCTGGTAACAAATTAAAGACGACAACAGTCCCAAGCTGACTCATTCTGCTGGCTGTGTCGTTGTTGCAATCTGCTGCTGACGAACAGAACTGACGTTGACTTCAAGCGCATCTTGGGTAAAAAAAATAAAAGGTGTGAGGAGCTAGTTGGTTTTTGGCATCGTGATTTTAATAGTCTGGGTTCCACTCGAGTCCGCTTGACAATCCAAACGTTTAGCTTTTGTTCGGTAGGTTATTGTGTCATGCATTGGTGCACTGGACATTTGACCCCGTGGAATGTATTCCTATCCTGAAGCCTTACCGCGCTTGTCACTGTATCGCGAGTGAACCTTGGATCACGGTGGCATTGGTTCGTGCAAAGACCTGTAGACAGGTTGCTCGAGTGTTATTTAATCATTATACTCGATTCATTCCCTTTGCAATTGGAGGACCTGAGGCGGCTGGCAGGGAATGTATCACAGCTGCACCAGAGGATGCTTCTAGAGTTCGTGGTTTGTCTTTTGGTCCGGCAAGTTGTTCATCCTGCTGTTGGCTGGCAATTCGAATTGAGGCGATGAACGTACGATCAGCAGGATTGGCATGGCTTGCAGCCTTCAATGCAGTGGATCTGAGCCGCCTCCAAGAGGAGATTCATGCTCGAGGCTGATTCCCGTCTGCAAAGCCTGTTGTGCCTAAGTATTGTCTTGTGGGTCGGGTGAGGTTTCTGTTGCTGGTTCTAAGGACCCGCTCTTATGACGATGAGTGGCTGGAAGTGCACCGGTCTGCAAAGCTTGTGCACATGCTGTGTCTGTCGGGTCGGGTGATGTTTGTGCTGCTGGCTCTAAGGACCCGCTCTTTTGGCTATGAGTGGCTGTGCTCCAGTCTGCAATATCCTGTAATGCACATGCTTCTTGTTGTGGGTCATTCACTTATCGATCAAGGTTCGGTTTTGATGGCTCAGATGACCCAGTCTTGTGGCTAGGAGTGCCTGGAAGTGCTCTTGTCTGCAACTCTAGTGCACATGCAGGGTATTGCGGGTCGGGTGAAGTTTCTGTTCATGCCTGTGAGGGCCCATTTTTTTGGCGATGAGTGGCTCCAGTGCCCCAGTCTGCAAAGCCTCCTGTGCATATGCTGCGTCTTGCAGGTCCGGTGAAGTTTGTGTTTGTGTCTCTGAGGACCCACTCTTATGGAGATGAGCTGTGCTGGAAGTGCTCCGGCATGCAAAACCCTCTAAAGTGCACATGGTGTTCGTTGATGGACTCTTATAGGTGAAGTTTGTGCTCATGTCTGTGTCCGAGGACCCACTCTTATGGCTATGAGTGGGCCCTGGGCCGATAGATGCTGGAAGCGCTCCGGTCTGCAAACAGCCTTTGTGCACACGCTCTGTCTTGGAGAAGGGGGTCGCATATCGCTGAAGTTTTTGTGATGTCTCTGAGGACCAAGTCTTATGCTGGTGAGTGGCTGGAAGTGCTCCGGCATACTAAATCCTCTCGTGCATGTGCTTGTTGTTGCGGGTCATTAAGTGATGGAGTCTGTGTTCAAACCTCTGAGAACCCACGTTTACGGCTGCGCGTGGGCAGATAGATCGATGCTGCTGCAGTGCCCCGCTCTGCAATAACCTGTTGAGCACATGCTGTACCTTGCCGGGTATATATCGGTTGTTGGGAAGCGAAGTTTGTGTTTATATCGCTGAGGACCAACTCTTGTGGCCATGAGTGGGCTGGACCCTGATGGATGTGCTCCGGTCTTTTGCATCAGGAAACAGGATACTGCAGCTCGCACGTGTCAGCCACATGACTCACGAGAGGCAGAGCTTGAAAGAGAAAGAAAGAGAGAGACAAAAAGAAAGAGAGATAGAGAGAGAGAGAGAGAGAGAGAGAGAGAGAGAGAGAGAGAGAGAGAGACGGAGTGTGTGTTGTGTGTGTGCGCCCAATTGCAGTTGTCGTTGCTGCGCACACTTATCTACAGTTCACGATGCACAAAGCAGTGGCTCCTGCAGTTGATCGTTTGCTGTAAGCTTGGATGGATCAGGCCAACTCAAGAGCGCGACGGTTGGTTATACATCATGTCAAAGTCAAGCCATGTTAGGGTTGTTTCCTTCAGCTTGCACCAGCAATCCAGTGAATATGTTTTTACAATCTGAACAGTACCGTACCTTGGGTTTCTGTAAGTGAGTTGAGTAGAGGCACGCGGTGACACAATGGCCAGGGAAGCCGGGGATTGCTGCGATACATCACACTGAAAGCCAGGGATTGCTACGAGACACCCTCGTGAAAGCCAGGGATTGCCACGAGACATCCAGGGATTGCTACGAGAGACATCATGGTGAAGCGCAAGAGAGAACGAACTTCGGCTTCGGAGTCGGACGAGGGTTCATCCAGTTCGGATCAATCTGACTCAGGGTCTGCTGGATCAGAATCCAGCTCTTCCTATGGTGGGTCAGAATGCAGCTCCTATACTGGATCAGAACCCAGCTCTGCACCGGAAGCTGTATCAGAAACCAGCTCAACACCTAAGCAGGAGCCAAGGATTGCAAGTTTTACCATGAACCAGGTCTTGTTTGGCGACGAAGACTCCGGCTCCGAAGATGCTTACCAGTCCAATGGTAAATCAAAGAAACGTGTTCTGAGGACTTTGGAAACTGGGTGTTGTGCGAAGCGCTGCAAGCGGCGGCTGGCATTTAAAACAATCATGTGTTTGGTGACCTCGTTTTGGGCGCTGTCCAAGTCGGGCCAGGATGCTCTATTGTGGAGCCTTCAGCATCCAATGTGGACACCTCAGGCCGAGTCTGAGGACGAACAGTCCAGTGCCAGCAGCGAGGCTTCTGGGAGCGGATCACAGTCCGCTGGAAAGGTGGCTTGGTACCTTGAAGGCGGGGTGGTCATGGGCTGTGAAAAGTCAAGTTGTTGCCGTTTGTGCTTGTGTGGTGATTGTGTGTTTCGGTAGGCCGCAGAGTCTGCAGAGCTGCATTCTTGAAGATCCTCGGTATTTCACCAAGCCGACTTGTGCGATGCCGAGCTACATTTCGGGGACAGGATTTGAGGAAATTCCGTGCCTTGTCGGTTTTACAAATGCTGGATGTACAAGCGGCTTTGGGAGCCTTGTTGTTGCCCACCCTCGCATGAAGTATATAATGTAGTTTACATGCCAAGGCCAGCCAACCTCCTGGAGTCCCATGTACGCATCCTGCATCGCCTTCATCGAAAAGCTCTATTGGGGCATAGCCGAGCCATTGCCGCACGAGCTACTTGTCCTTGGAACGAAGTGTGTGATTGAAGACTTAAGCCTAGAGTGGCCTACAGTAGTACAATTGTGTGTCTGACAGCCATTTGCAAGCTGCAATTGTCCGTCTACAGTCCTTGCAGGCTGAAAGTCAAAGAGGGGCTGACTGGCAACATGCTCTCCACGGATAAGTACCAAGCTGACATTCTCAGATGTATGCTGGATGTGGCGTTGCAGGATGAGTTGCAAGGCATATTGCCTCCGAAACATCTTCCGAAAAAATATCTTCCGCCGGGGAAACGCTCAGATCTTTATCATTTATACCTTTCTTCCTGTATGTCGGCGGGCGTCGAAGTGGCATCTATCAAAACATTTTACAGAGCATTCAAGACATCAGGCTATGATCGAATCTTGAGATTCAGACACAAAACACAGCACGCGCAATGTGCAATCTGCCATCGCCTCAAAGCTGCGATCGCGCACGCCCGAGATTTCGTGGAACACGCCAAGTTCTGTGATGAGTATCATCGGCATTTGGCTGGCATGTTTGCTGACCGCAAAGTGTACGCAAGCCTCAGGGCAAGAGCTGCTCGTCAGCAACATGCAAACATCGGTTTCTATGAGTGTTTCACCACCAACGTGCAAACCTGAAGCTGAGTTTTCATGGCACCAAAGGTCCTCAGAAATCACGACATTTTGCTGGGAATCGTGGATGGAATGGATCGTGCCAAATACACACTACCTCGCTGGCACAATCTGAGAACGCCGAAAGGGGCCGACAAGCGGCAGCGTCCATCCCTTGATGTTTATGCGGTTATATTGCATGGCCGATCTGTGAACATCTTCATAACTGATGAGAACCAGACCACGGGTGCCAACTGGGCGATGGAAATTTGGACGAGGTCTGTTCAGAAAGAGTGGAACAAATCACAGCAGAATGGCCAGCCTTTTCCGGCACATTGCATACTGTTTGGAGATAACACATCTCGTGAGCTTCGCAACAGCTGTGTGAGCAAGGTGTTTTCGGCCATGACGGCCGCCTCGATTTTTACATCATGCAGCTTAAAGCACTTACCCGTCGGTCACACTCATGAGGATGTTGGCTAGGAGCCCAGTTGGATCATGTTCATGCCTAGCATAAATTCGGCATGTCGCACCGAGCCTTCACCTTGTATGCAATGCCCTGTCTGTGGTGACTCAGATGCTTTCTTCGGGTTGCTCACCTCGATGATCAGCAGTGCTGATGTAGATATGTTTGTCGGCAGCAACTGTTGGTGCTTGGAGCAAAGGTGTGGGAACCCTTGTTGTGTGAGTTGGGTGCCATCTCAGGCAATGCCCTGCAGATGTGGTGAAGTTCTTGAAGCAGAAGCTACAACGTCTTTTTCAAGACCGGCCCGAAGATGTGCACGTCGAGCATGTTACGAACATCCGTGATTTCAACACTGAACTTGCTGACTCTGCAAAGATTTACAACATATTCCGGAAAAGGAAGAATGATGATGACAACAACAAAATCATTCCTCACTCGTTCACTTTTGTGCGGAGAGAAAGCCACTCGGGCCAAGTCTGAGACCTCTAAATAACTGTCGTTGGACATCAGACCTTCAATCAATATTTAGGTTTGCTGCTTCCCCGTGCAATGAGAAGCAACCAAGGTTTGCCTCAGGATTTGCTTCGTGGTGCCAGAGAGAACCTGCCACGCAGATATCCCAAGAACGATGCGGATGTTTTCTGCTTTGTGAAACGATATATCAGTGACATGGATGTCAGTCAAAGGCCGTTGGTAGTCTTTCCGGGAGCTGCTTTGCCACAAGTCATGCCTGCTTGGAGACGATTATCCACAGCTGCCTGTTCCAGCAGCATGACTGCAGGTACATGTAAGTTTGTTAGTGTTGTAGCCGGTGGTTCAGTTTGTGCTGCCTGGGTGTTTGCATGCGAGTGGTGTTTTGCCTGTGCTCACATATATTGATCGTGTCTGCGCGGAGGCCTTGCCCGAGACGTGGAGCAAGGGAAGATTGATGAGTTTTCTGATCTGGCAGCTTGGTTGGAGAAGCGCTACCCAAGACAGTATCCCCGAGGGGTTCTTTATCTCCGGCAATTGGCCGGAGAAGTGGCCATGCACCAGGAGCCACTTCCTGTGCTTCCGTTCTTGAATCCCCAACATGTGCAGGCCAGGGGTGTGCCCCGAATCAACCTGCCAAATCCGCTAGAGAATGATGTGCACAACTTGCAGGTCCAGTTTCACCGCGTGTAGGACAGGACTTCCGCCGTCTCGTGTCGTAAATGTGCTTCGGTGCTCTGAGCCTGCTGTTATGAGTTTCTCATGTTGTCGCCTGACATGTGCACATGGCATGGAACAGGGTCCTGCTACTGTTGACGAGTTGTGGCTCAGCTCAGCAACTTGGTGGTGGATCCTTAGAGGCCTTGACAAGTAGAATAGAGTTTTGGGGCCATTCTGCGGTGTCTACTACTAGAATTGTCACAAGGAGCCCCCCAAATTTTGTTGGTAACATGAAGGCATGGCGGTTCAGGGTTTACCCTGTTGTCAGAAAGCGTCTCGGTGAGACTGGGAGATTTCACTGGAGATCCCCACCGCGGTGTCAGCATCCGCAGTGGGGTCATGCCATTTTTCCGCCGACTGATGTGAGATAGACTCGACGCTTGTACGGCGGTGATGCTGCTGCGACAGGATCGCGCAAACCACGAGCAAGACGAGTGGACCATCGTGCAAACCAAACAGCAAGTGAAGGCACGGAGTGAAGTCGCAGGGTCGGCAGCGTTTGCATGCAGTTTTTGCTGCGGAGGAGCGAAGGCGCATCAAAGAAGAGGTCAGGAAAGTTCAGGACAAGTTCTCAGAGGGTTTCAGAAGCTTGTGCTACCTGCAAATGGATTTGCAGGTGAAGACTGAGTCCGAACCCAAGCCCGATGATGACGGTGCTGCTTCGCAAGCGCCGCAAGCAGATGCACCGGCCCCGGCCATGACACAAACGATCAAGGAGAAGGTGGAACTGGCCTTCCTGGAGGTCTGGTAGTGCTTCGTGTGTTTAATGCGATTACATGATGTCTCCTATCGGTGACAACCGGTAGCCTTGTACTTATCTTGATCCCTCGGCTTGGGTCCTCAGGCCACGAAAGAGGCCCACATCGGTGACATGATGTCCCGGTGGTTCCCCCACACTGTGGACGGCCAAAGCGACTTTGCGAAGGTGGGCTGATGGAGGGTTGATGCTAGGTGTGAGGCACGATGTTTCGGCTTTCTGCAAGCATCCGAGGTCATGCTCAACTACGTGGGGCTTCCCGAAGTGGCCCAGCATGTGCAGTCCCGCCGGGCAATCAACCACATTCCTACAGACTCCAAGACGGACATGTGGCTTCATCCTTGGATGATTGATTACTCGCGTCAGTGTAAGTACGGCCGCTTGGCTTCAGCCTGGGACCACCCAATCTGGATATGTTTACTTGCTGTCGGTTGCTAGTGTGCTTTGGAGTGTCTGTGAACACTGCTTCGTGCTTCTGAGGCATGAGCTCCAAGTACCCGGACATGTGCACACTACGTGTGCACTTTCTGTCGATCCTTTCAGCTGGCTTCGAAGCTGCGAGGGAGCCGCTGGACGTGAGGTTTCTTGCGGACAAAGGAGTTTTGGACAGCATTTAGTGACGTGTGCGACTTTTCCTGAAGTTAGTGTTGGCCTGATTTCAGAATTCAACATTGAGGGATCATGCCCTTTGTAGACGGCGTCGAGATTTTCAGCGTGAAGCTCGTCGACGGCTTTACGAAATCCCTCTGTGTCCAGGCAATCTTTGCTCTGATGCACAAGCTGGACTGCTTGGTTGCGCATGGAAGATTTTTTCGTGACTGTTTGGTTTGTGGGAATGTGTGCATGTGTGACTTCGGTTACAGTTCCTATCGGCATGTGTCTGTGCGTGCGGGTGTATATGTGTTTATTTGGGTGGTGTGTCTATGTATGTGCATGTGTGTGTGTGTGTGTGTGTGTTTCTGTTTGTGTTTGTGTCCGTGGGTGGGTGTTGCGGGGAAGGGGTTTGGGTTGGTGGGGGGGGGGGGGGGGGGGGGGGGGGGGGGGGGGGGGGGGGGGGGGAAGGGAAGCAGTTGCACGGATTGCTCGGATCAAGACATGCTTGCGGCTGCTTGCGAGGAAGTGACTCAAGAGGATTTGGCCGAGGACGACAGCATGGCACAGTGTGTGGCAACGCTGAAATATCTTAAGGGCAACTTCAAGAGGCACGATCGCGAGGAAGAGTACTTGTACGATGCTCTTGCATTGACCCAGAGGACTGGAGAGAAACAGCAGGCAAGTCCGATGGAGTTGGTCAGTGTGTTCAGCGAGGCGATTCGATTGAAGAAGAGGTCCCTCGGAGCCAAGTCCACTCGCGACCTTCTGAACCTCTGTGTCCAAGATTACAATAAGGTTGTCGGGAAGGCCAGGCCAGGGAACCTTTAAATCATTCAATCGTCGAAGCTTTGCTTGGCCTTTGTGCCTTAAAGAAGCAGTTCTCAAATAAAATAGTTCTGACCTGATAAAGTTCAGCCCGTAGTGTTATAATTTGAGGTTGAGTATCCGTCGACTTAACGACCCTAGACCCTGATATGTTCCTAGGGTCCTAGGGTCCATCCTGTAATGCTTGGGCATGATCTGTGCTGTCCGACAGGGGCAGAAGATCAAGCAGGAGACCATCAAGGTGATCTACAATGTGGTTCGATGCCCCTTGGTGTTCAAGGAAACCTTGATGACCATGTACAGTGACTACCGGCACTTCAATGCAGGTTGGGGGATTTGCTGTGAAACTTGCGCTTCCGCATTATAGCAGTTTGTCGTTCTCTTCCCTTTCAGCTTTGACCTTGGACAACCTTGCTGGTGATTTCTTTGTGCCTGGGACCAACCTGGCAAAGAGTGACAAGGGGAGATGGCCGGAAATCCTGGTTTCTCAGTTGCAACAAAATGTTCGGTGTTTTCCGAAACAAATCATAATAATAATTGTGTTTCGGTCTCGAGGTTCATTCTCATTCAGTCAATGCATGTATTTTTGAGGTTGCTTTGCAGAAGGTACGAGAATCCCTCTTGAAAGTCTGTTTTTAGGGCAGCTAGGTTCCTTAATTGTTTATCTGGTTCCACTTGAAAGACCATACATTGCCTTGATCGAAGAGCAGTGATGTTTGTTGTATCGTTTATGACACGATGCAGCTCAGCCGCTTCCAGTTCTGCCCCCAACCCCAACCCCAGCCGCAACCCTAACCCCCAACCCCATCGTCTCCAACTTTAACCCCAACCCCAACCCTAAACCCCACCCCAACGGCCCGCAGCAAGGAAGTGAGCGAGACTGCCACGATCACTTGGCTGAAGCGGGTGACTGCGGCTCACAGGAGCAAGGCACCCCCTGAAGCGAGCACGCGTGCCCAGGCTGGCTTCTTGAATTGTCGTCAGGCTTAGGACTAGGATGCTGTGTGTTGTTTTTACAGAATCACACATTGATGTATCTGATCCCTCCTGGCAGAAGTCAGCGCAGCTGGGCAATGATCAGCTGCGAGAGCTCATGGAGATGTGTTGTTTGTGGGAGTGGCTGACCCCGATCATGCAGCGGACCTTGGGCAGTGGCTGCCAGAAGCTGTTGGACGCCTGGGAGATGGGGAGCCTGGGCTTAATTATCGCATGTCGGCCCAGCGCCTTGAGCTCACTTGTGGGGTGCACTTGTGTTTCTTAGCTGTCCTGGCTCCAAGTGCCTGCCCAAGTGGACTTGAATCCTAGCCACCATCATGGCGGAAGGGCCACGAGGAACGAATGCTGACGGCAGAATCAGAAGCAGAAGGCCGAGAACGCCAGAGGAAAAGTTTCCCAAGGGCTACTTTGATTGTGAGACTGCCATTGATTTCATCCAGCTTGGAATATACAGCATTCCTCAGATCTACCGTCGTGCCGAAAGCTTGAGCAAGTCTGTGCCGGGGCTTGAACTGATCAGATTGAGTGTTGTCTGTGTGTTCCGTTTAAATCGAGAGACTGCGGAAGTTCCCATGAGTGAAACAGATTGGTCCCCATGCAGGCATATGCATCAGCGCGAAGATTGGGCAGGAGGCTTCAGACCGTCGTTCAAAGTCACGAGATTACTCGAATGTCACTGGAGGACCGTCGGTACTGAGACGGATGCCATGACCAAAACTGTTTTGGTGGATTTATGAATGTGCTCAGCCGTTCTTAATTCGATGCATTCCTCAGCCAGCCACCCAACCAGAGCTAGGGAAAATCAATGTATTCCCGGATCCTTCACCCATGGATGGCAAATACATGGATTAGTATGCAACCACCAGCCAAAGCAGTAATTCAATGTATTTTAGATGCCTTGGACCCAGACCCGGAAAATACATTGAAATCCAGATTTCAATGTATATATTGATAAGCAGAAACCATTCAATGTATTTCTAGGATATAGATCCCAGACCAGCAAAATACATTGATGGTGCCCAGCAAACACAGAAATACATTGAAATCCAGATTTCAATGTATTTCCTGCTACCATATCCAGGAGCCCGAAAATACATTGAATCTGTGGGTTCTAGTAACTTCCAGAACTCGCCAATCAGTGCCCGGAGCCCAACAATATAATGAATTTCTGGGTTATACTGAAAGAACTCGCTTAATATCAACCAGGCAGTGGGGTTGTGTGTAGTTCTATCCTTGTATTAAAGTGTGTTCTTCCAGATAGTGACCGGTTCCATCAGTGTTGCCTGATTCAAGCAGATTGAGGTCGTCAGAACCTTTCCAAGCATAGTTGGCTGGCTGAGATCACATAGTACTGCGGACACAAATTAGCATGTTTCGAGTCCAGATGCTGTCGTTTGCAAGAACGCGATTAACAAAAAGCTCTGTTTGTGTGTGTGTGTGCCTGAGAGGGCGACTGTGGTTGTCAAGTGTGGTACAATATAATATCAGAAGTCACCTTGGCAACTCAGGACTCTGGATATGGAACTTCGTGGAGTTCTCAGGGTCCGGGATCCAGCATGGAACCCGGAGAAAATGGGATTTTTCCTCGAAGCCCGCGGCAACATGCAGCACCAGTTTATGGAGAAAGGGCAAGCGAATGTTCAGAACGCCCTGCGTCTGGCTGAAAAGTCAGCCTTTGACTTGTTCGTCAGCCAGTTGCAGCAAGACCAGAGCTTTTTCCGAGCGCAGCTTTCCTATATTAGAGTTAGCATGAGGCAGGATGTGAGTGTGGATGTGTTTGATTTGTTGCCCAAGAAGCTTTCGCTGCAGCAACCAAGGGAGCTTCTTAGAACATCGGGTGACTCGGAGAGGAAGCGCCAGGCTGCAGTTGCAATGCTGGAGGCTCGCAATTCCTACCAATCATTCAGTCCCCAGCTGTCGCTTAGATCAGTCCCAAGCTGTATTGTTCAGCAGTCCGAAGCTGTTGGATGATTCAGTCCCAGGCTGTTTTGTGCAGCAGTTCCAAGCTGTTTCGTGCAACAGTCCCAAGCTGTTCGGGGATTCTGTCGATGGCTGTTTTGAGCAACAGTTCCAAGCACTTTCGTGCAGCAGTCCCAAGCTGTTTAAGGAGTCAGTTCCAGGTTGTTGTACCATCCAGTCCCAAGCTGTCTCCTCAAATTAAAGATGCCAACTGTCAAAATCTTGGTTCCGATGTGACAAGACTGACCCTCAGTCTCTTCACAAGTCGGCCTGGACACATGTGCGACGATTTGGTGAAGATGCCTATCCTGTCTTCAACTTGACGCCGAAGAAGCGCCAAGGGTCTGAACGTGACTTCGAAAGCCCGCCAATGGAGCCACTTGTGAAACCATGGCTGGCAGAGGCTTTGTCAGGCCTCCAGGGCGGGGTGCGGTCGGCAACTTCGGAGATGATCGTCTACATCGCCAACTTGGTGGCGCAGGGAGTGGTGAGCTCCGCGAAGCAGACTTTTCTCGTGCAGGCCCTACAGAGTGCAGCAGCCCATCACCCCAACAGCTTTGTTGGAGTGGTGATTTTGCCAAACAGAGCATGCGATGAAAGCTACGTGGTCCGCAAGCCTTCGACGACTCTTTGTTGCATCTCAGACAGAGACAGGAACAGAGCCAGAGACAAAGATAGAAAGAATGAGAGAGTGCGTGTCTGTGTATGAGACTTGAGCTAGTGACTGGGAGGGAGTGAGCAAGTCATTTAAATGACTGTGTTTTGCATTGACGACAGTTTACAGGCTTGTGGACGGTAAGGGTATTTGCTGTCAAGAGCCTAGGAAAGAGGAGCAACAGGACGTGAAGGACGAGACGCAGGAGGCCGAGGAAGCGGATGACGAGGAATGCGAGAAGGCCGTCGACGTGGAGGCCGTGACGTCTCTTCGGGACTTCAAGTACCAACTCCAGGTTTTGTTGCAGGAGCCGGCAAGACAGCTGTCGGTGCGAACCATGACGCTCATCTTCGAGGAGTCAAGCATTTATGGGCAAAGGGCTGCGTGCCACGAAGCTTGGCTGGTGACAAGTTCGTCTTCGACTGTCATGCCCCGCAAGAGCTTGTTCAAGCGTCTCATCGTGGACAAGATTCCGATGTTGCCGCGCAGTGTTGCTTGCCTGTGTTGTGTACCCGTGTGCCTGTGCTGACTGACTCAATGTTCGTGTCATCGTCGGTGTGCTGAGGACATGCTGAAAGTGGAAGTGGGCCGCAAGATTTCCGCAGACACGGAACGCTTGTCGCGGACGCAGGAACTTGCTTGCAGTCCGTCCCCCCTTTCGTGTGATTTGCAATGACAATGCTGAGGGTGTTGATGTGTTTGTAGATTAGATGCACGAGGAGCTCGGGCAGCACCTGGGTGGAACGGGGGTCATCAAGAAGATTTTGGCGAGCCTTGACATTGCCAAATGCAAGACGGTGGTGATCGACTTGTTCGCCCACGATGGCTGGATTCCCCTTGCATGCTTGCAGCTGCACATCGAGAACAACGCCATTGCATGTGGGTCCGTGGCTCACACTGAGATCGAGTACAAGTTCACCAAGGAATCGGAAGGGATTGACCAGTCCAGTGTTATTAGTTGGTTGAGGTGTGTTCCCGGATTGTATAGTTTAGCATTTGCAGTATTGGGAAGGAGCTGCTCCTTCACGACTTCTTCGGCCGGGCCAAGACGAAGCAGCTCAACATTGCAGGCTTCCCTGATTTCACGGCGGCCTTGTCCGACTTGAGCAAAGTGCACACGGAGAGCGCCAGGTCTGACTACGAGTACCTGGTGACGCTTCCTGTGGGTGGCGACCTCATCGTGCTTGAGGCTCTGATGTCGAAGTTCCAGAACTCGGTCTTTTCGGGCGAGTTTGGTGCGATCTTGAAGAAGCACGACGAGGAGTTCAACAAGCAGCACAAGAAGGCCAGCCTAGCAGAAGCCCGGTCTGAGCTCGAGAATGTTCGAAGGAAGCGCGAGGCCAACACGCCAAGGAAGCTCGACAAAGCTTACGACGACATGACGGCATTCCGCGACGAACACAAGCAGCTTCTTGTTTGATTTGAGACGGACGGTCTGTTGGTGTTCGATGTTCTCGTGTTTCATTCTGTGATCGGTGTGTTTGAGTTGCTTGGAAGTGAACAAATCAGGCTGCTGGAGACTGCGTGTGGCGATGTCACCCTGTATTACGACACGGAGGAGAACACATTGTGGGTGGGGTCCGACCGAATCTGTGGTATTCCTCCCAAGGCCGAGTGGTTTGGTTTTGGTGCCGGGGACTTCCTGGATGGGCCCACTGCCAAGGACATCGTGAGTGACAGCAATGGACGCTGGTATGTTTACAGCCTGTCAGGGCCCTTGGCCGACACGATCGTGATCTTTGAATCCGACAGAAAGCTGTCGGAAGAACTCAAGGCACTCCCCGTCTGGAACCAGGCCGTATGGTTTTGAAACTAAAAGCAGTGCTGCAATTAGGAACAAGTGGGAAAAGTCTTAATGTGATTCGATGAGTTTCGTTCCTTGATGCCTAGGTCTAGGTTTTAGTCCAGTTTCCCCAGTTGGTTCCAATATGATTTAGTAACCTGTAAAACGCAGGCCGTGAGCTTGAAGGAGTTCCTAGTGGCCATGGAGGACAAAGGCGAGATCGTCTCGTTTATGGGCCACACGAAGGAAAACGATCAGCTGAAGGTCAATGAGAAAATCATTTTCGTCATGGATGAGATGAAATCCAGCCCTGCCAAGAAAAGACGGATCTCGAAGGCACAGCTGAGAGCTATAAACGTTTTTGTCGAATTCAAGAGCACTGGTCGCCTGGATTACAACACTTGTCGTGTCTTATCGATGAACCCCCCCCCAACCCCCCCCCCCCCACCTCCATACTTCCCGGTTTCGTTAAATAACCCTTTAGGCTAACAGTCCCCACAGCCTTGCACTCAACCAGCTGTTCATGTTTGTTGGCAGGTGAGGCCACTGGTCTTCGGTTCCTACATGGATGCTGCGAAACTTCGCTCCGTTCGCTCCCCATTCAAGCTGACCTGGCGCGTGAGGCCTGCTAGTGAGTTTGCTAACGACCCGACTGCCGTCGATAACTCCAGCCTAAGATTCGTGAAGCTGTGCACCCTGCCAGGTTGAACAACAACCGGCAGATCACTCCTGTGCGGCCTGTCTTGATCCACACGACTGAGCTGTCTGTGCAGCCAGGAGTTTTCCGAGCTCTCTGAGCGTTTTGGGCTCTCACACGAGCCTCCAGTGGGATGGGCAAGGCGTCGGGGATAACCTGGGATGCTTGCCCTAGGGGTTGAAGACTCCAGCAGGCTTAGTCGGCAGGGGAGGAATGGTTTGTGATTATCGGGGTCATGTCATTGTGCTGGCATTGCTGCAAGTCTACTGCATCTGAAGGAACCTGTGTTGTCCTCGAGTAATCCCTTAAACGGCTAAATGCTATTAGGGTGCAGAACTCTGATTTCCACTGTTAATCTGAATCCATTCTTTCCCTTGTCTGCCTGCACGAGTCTTCTCCGGGTGCTGCTTAGGGACAAAGCCTGAGCCTATCAATCGTCGGGCGAAACGGCTTACAGGAGTCCTGGTGCCTCTTTCTTGCTCTGGGCTTTCGTGTGCTGCTTTCAGTTCTGAGTCGTTTCAAGAACAGACTATAGCATGCAGTACATAGCACATGATGCCTGGGGATTCTCGTAACTTTTGCTGTGAAAGCTGCCAGTGCCTCAATCAAGACAGTCATTGTGGTGCTTGTCGCGACAAAACAATGGTCAAACCAAGCCGTGGCACTCCGTCTGCATCAGCTGCCGTAGATTCAGATATCTCCTGTGCATTGTTGATGCAATGATCCCGTCTGCATGTTGGATTCTCTCGGAGCTTTTTGGTTACAGGGTGTCGCTGCTACCTGCAGTGGCCTAGCCCCTGACCCTTAGTTTTCCGGAGATGGATTCGGCCAGCACCGAGTCACGTTCCTTCAATTCACCTCCCTTCACTGTGGACGCCTATGAGCAAGACTTGCAGGCTTTGAGTGCTGCTGCCAAGAAAGGGGAAGAAAAGCCCAAGGGAGAATCTTCCGGTCTTCGCAAGCTGGAGAGGTTCGAAGTGAAGGACAGCGACGATGAGGATGTGGGCTCACCCGAGGAGATGTTCCCAGAGGAGGATGAAGAGGAGGAGGAAGAGGAGGATGGTTCGCCTAAGAAGAGACCTGCCAAAAAAAACGCAAGAGGCAAGCCAGGCTCTAAAAAGAGCAAGAAAAAGAAGCAGAGTGAGAGTGACGAAGCAGATAAGAAACGCAACAAAAAAGATCATGACGATGATGAAGACTCCGATGAAGATGAGGCGCCCGCGATGTTATGCACACCTCATGCAGTTTACGTGCCTCTAGATGTGAGTGTACAACATTCAAACTGTCGTGGCACAGGCACCGCGGAAAGGCCGCGGCCGAGGACGGGGCGGTGCAAAGACTCGGTCCAAGGGGTCTAAGCACAAGTCCTCGAAGAAGAAGGAAGAGAAGAAGAAGAGTAACTCAAAGAAAAAGAAGGGTGACAAGCGCAAGCGACGTGCTGCTAACGGTGGCAATGACCTCGAGTCCTTGCTAGCTCAAGCCCAGGACCGATTGTTTCATGTCTGATGTGAGAATCAAGTGAATCTGAATTGACCTGTGAAATCATTAGTTAGTCCCGTTGCAACCTGTTGCGGCTAGGATGCGGAACGGCGCTTTGGCTACGGATCGGCTGGTGTGGTGTCTTGCGAAAGCGAGGACCTTTGTGTATGACTTTGGGCTGAGAGAGCGAAGTGACTATGTAAGAACCTGGAATATTTTCTGCTTCCCACATCAGGACGGCTCCTCTTCGTATGCCAGCACAGGACCGAGTGCATCTCGGCAATCACGTACTTCATTGCAAGCAATGCCTCGGCTGTGGGATCACGATAGTATATGGTCTCTGGGTCGGAGCCACGGTGAGGCTTTCGTTCGGCTTGGGTCGCAAGTTTAGGGTTTTAAACCGGCCGGGTAATACTGTTGATGGACAAAATCCTGCATTACCCATTATAAGGAATATACCATGGTTCCCATAGTTTAGAGTCCTTAGGGTCATGCAGGATTGTGTCCATCAACACTAGTACTAGGGATGCTTAGGGAACCCTGGGGAACTTAAGAGATAAGGGAGCAGTAGTTGGTGGATTTACATTAAAAAGTATCTAGTATATACACCCCTGAAAACCCATGAGATCACGAAGCATTACCTCACATCCCATATAAAGACAACCACAAGACGCAGTGCTCCAGGTGCAGGCTAGCAACAGTGCTTCATGGTCGTTTCGGTTGTAGAAACTCAGAGTCTTAATGAAACTTGGGTGTAAAAGCTCCGTAGGCTCCTGAAGCCATAAGGGCTCAACATGCTATCATGTTCCACTCTCCCGGAGAAGCTTTCGAAAGCAAGGCATGGTTTCAGAGGCATATCAGAGTCGTCAGGTATGGTATGTAAGCGCCGCAACCCCTTGCCACCCAGCAAATCAATCACCCCAGGGCCCCAGCTCAACACCCGCACGTCCATGTGACACTTCCTCCCAGAAGCCCATAGCCCATAAGTTTTGCTTGAGAAAAGACAGCTGCAAGCCGAGGAATCAGAACCAGAGGCAGCCGATGCTGGCTTCGACGTGGCCGGCGGCCGTGCAGCGGCAATGGCAGTGCCTGCCACTTGCTTGAATCGTGCGAGAGTCCGAGTGTACAGGATGTTGTTGAGTGGACCGAGATACATCCATCCATGCACTCATGCACACATGCGTGCTTGTGGAAAGCCGAACTTGAGCTACCTTTATGTAGATGTATGCAAGATGTATGCGCTTGACATGTTTGCCATGGTCTTCTACATATATGTGGTATGTAGAAGACCATGGCAAAGCTTGCAAACTACTTCGTGAACTCACAACGCAGCAACAACACAGGTGCCTCCGTCTGGTGGCGCAGAAGCGGCTGTCTCTGCCTTTCGGACTTTATCATGGGTTTTACTTTGCGTTCGGAAAGACTTGCGTGGGTTTCTTGGAATGCTGAGGGTTAGACCCCAAAGGATCATTGTGAATTGTGTAATTAGCTACTTGAAAGCAAGCATGTCTGGACATGTACTCTGTGCACATGTGCTTCTGTATGCCTGGCAGCATCTGCTTCGAAGGCTTGTAGAATTCACGATGTTGGTCCAGTCACCCAGCATGTAGGGATAGCAGCCGGCCTCAGGGGATGTGTTTGAAGCAAGCCATGGGTTCAAATGCCTCTACAGCCCCCTGGTAAAATGTAGACTTATACCATCGACACTCCGAGGACGTCTGTCCTGTATTTCTTAGACCCACATATCCGACGATACCTGAAACCTCCTGTGATTCGCAGACTCACATATGCGGCGATACCTTGTAATCTGTCCTGTTTGGTTGTGTTCTCCTGGTCCATGCATCAAAACATGGGCGTCATCTCCTGTAGTTCTCAGCCCCACTTATTCGACGATAGTTGTAACCTCCTGTAGTTCTCAAACGCATATATCCGATGTCAGCTGTAACCTCCTGTAGTTCGCAACCACTTATATCTGACGATAGCTGTAACTTCTTGTAATTCTCAAACCCTACAACCCGAAGAATGCTGTACCTGTCCTCTAGCTCACAGACCCATATAGCAGAAGAAAGCTGTAACCTCTTGTAGTTCTCAAACCCACAAACCCGACGAATGCCCGTCCTCTACTTCGCAGACTCAGATAACAGAGGAAAGTGGTAACCTTCTGTGAATTTCAGACCCCTATACCCGAAGAGTGCTGGACTTGTCCTCTAGTTCCCAGACCCATAAAACAGAGGAAAACGGTTACCTCCTGGACCCACATATCCGACTTTGTAGCCTGGTATATATCGCATACCCATATATACACTGATAGGGGAAACCTGTCGTGTAGTTTTCAGACCCATATAACCGACGATCGTGGTAACCTCCTGTTTGTAGTTTGCTGTCACCTGTCCTCTAGTTCTCAGACCTAACCTCCTGTAAATCTCAGACCCATATACCCGACAACAGCTGTCACCTCGTGTAGTTCTCAGACCCACAAACCCGAAGAATGCAGTAGTACCTGTCCTCTGGTTCGCAAACCCATATAGCAGCGGAGACCTGTAATTTCCTGTGAATCTCAGGCCCCTGTATCCGACAATAGCTCTGTAGCCTCGTATATTTCGCATACCCAGATATCCGACGATGGGGGAAATTTGTCCTGCATGTCGCAGACTCATGTATCCGATGGTAGCTGTAAGCTGCTCTACTTCTCAGAACCACATACGATAGATGGCCTCCTCTGCTTTGAGAACCGCAGTACCCGACTGTAGCCTCCCACAGTTCTCAGAACCGCATCCAGTTACACGCACAGACATGGTTAAGAAAGTAGCAGTAGTAGCAGGGCTGGTGTCTTCCGTAGTATGTGCCACAACTTCTGCACGCACAGACAGTGTCTTCTGGAGGGAAGAGAGGGGGCCAAAAGAGGAAGAGGAGGGAGTGAGCGGACAGCAACAGACGAGGATGCTTACAGCAATCGACGATTTTAGTTTCTACCCTGCACACTGTCAATATAGGTTTCACCGAGTAAAAATCGTATCACAAGCATGCTGTGGTTGAGGGTTCAGGGTTTACCTAGGCTTCCTATGTTTATGTTTTAGTGTATTGGATTTCGAGCTGTAGGTTTGTATTCTTATATAGTGTATTTGGGTTATACACTGGTCCACTATCGGCTTATAGCTCCGTCCCCGCATTCCAAAACCTCCCGAGGGTCTGGATGGCCACCAGCAGCTGCCAGAGCGCAGTGTCATGACGGTTGATGCAGAGATCCGGAAAGAGGACCGCTTTCCTAAGATCGAAGCTTCGCCAGTGTGTAACCGTAGGTTGTGCTTTGGGTTGTTGATGGGCCCCCGGAAGTCTACGGCACTGTCCCCCGGCTTAGATGTGGAAGGACTGTGAAGGTATTGGTCATCTGCTGCAGTCGACTAGTGCTGCAGGAGAAGAATGGGTCGGGTCATGGTGCCGGTGAACCCGAAGAGCTTCTGCACGCCGCACAGGAGTGAAAACAGTTTCGGGAGTGTACTCATATCGTATTGACCATGAAAACCTTCTTGTGGAAGAGCTGTAGATTACCATTTCGGTGTATCTCCTGATGTAGAAATTTCTCAGACATGCCGACAAGCTGCAGGAGATCAATGGCTCCTTGGGAAATGGGGCGACTGCAGCTGCACCGATGGAGCTTCCGGAGACCCTGCAGGAGTGTTACGCGTGCTGTACCTGTAATGATAACATGAAAAGCTTGTCTGATGCTGATGAGTCGCTGTAAACTTAGGAGTCTGAAAACTGCAAGGAACTGTTCGTCATAAAAGGCTAATAATACTCGTTCTATGTCCAGGACTCGGCAATGGTACTCAGCGATGGTGAGACTGCGAAGCATGCCGGCAGCAACAGACATGTTATCTTTTTAAATTCACACGGCCACCTGCCTCATGACAACTAGAAATGAGGTCCGATGCAACAACATTGCGGCTTGGTGATCACTTGAAACATACACCCCTGGAGGACTCCCAGCAACATGCCACTGCTGACATTGGGCCGTGCGGGCCTGCGGGCCCGACCTAAAATCCAGTAATATAGACCAGCACCCAGTACAGTACTGTCGAGTCTCTGATATCATGGAAATCATTCCTGTGTCCCAAATTATATAGACTCCTCCGACAAGCACGACCCGCAGGACCGCAAGAAGATCGAGGACATGCAGACACCTGCCAGCCCTGAGCCAATGAAGTTTGCCGAGACCCTTCAGGAGCAATGTAATATTACCATAGGCTGGATGTTCCAGTCCTAGCCCTTTTCTTTACCTACCCGCAGGACTGCGAAGAGACGAAGGGGGAGCTTCCCCAGGCCCTTCAGGAGTGATTCAGGAATAACGTAGTGTCGATGTGCGAGTCGTATTATTTCCTTCGCATAAGCGCCGCAGGACCACAATAAGACCAAGGGCTTGCAGGAGCTTGCCGAGACCGTTCAGGAGCGATGTATTTTATCACAGCCTCGATCGATTTGTATCTCCTACCGATAGCCTACAGGAGGGGGAAGAGATCAGAGGCCCACTGGAGACTGCCGAGACCTTTCAGGAGTGATGTAAGTCTATCATAGTCTCGATCGAGTCGCGTATCTACCGAAAGCCTGCAGGAGGGGGAAGAGATGAGAGGCCTGTGCACAGGTGCTGAACCAAAGGAGCTTGCCGAGACCCCCCAGGAGCGATGTGATAATATCATAGTCTCGAGGATCGAGTCGTATCTCCTACCGACAGCCACCCGCAGGACGGCGAAGACAGCAAACCCGAGCTTGCCGAGACCTTTCAGGAGGGATTTCCAATTAGGATAGTGTCGGTGATCGAGACCTATCTTCTGTCGATACCCACCCGCAGGACCGCGAAGAGAACAAATCCCAGCTGGCCCCCGCCGAGACCTTTCAGGAGTGATTTCATATTAGGATAGTGTCGGCGATCGAGTCGTATCTCCTATCGATAGCCACCCGAAGGACCGTGAAGAGAATAAATCCAAGCTGGTCCCCGCCGAGACCTTTCAGGAGTGATTCCATATTACGATAGCCTCGACGAGTCAGTCGTATCGCCTACCGATAGCCAGCCGCAGGACCGCGAAGAGAGAAAATCCCAGCTGGCCCTTGCCGAGACCTTTCAGGAGTGATTCCAAACTACGATAGTCTCGACGAGTGAGTCGTATCTCCTACCGATAGCCAGCCGCAGGACCCCGAAGAGAGCAAATCCCAGCTGGCCCTTGCCGAGACCTTTCAGGAGTGATTCCATACTACGATAGTCTCGACGAGTGAGTCGTATCTCCCACCGATAGCCAGCCGCAGGACCGCCAAGAGAGCAAATCCCAGCTGGCCCTTGCCGAGATCTTTCAGGAGTGATTTGATATTATGATAGTGTCGAGGATGGAGTCGTAGCTCCTAGCGATAACCTGAAATGGGAGATGCTGAATGTGAGCCCAAATCAGCTTCTGGAGACCCCAAGCAATAGTACCATAGTCTCGGTGATTCGACGGTCTACTGGGATGTCCCTGCAATCGTTGTTCTGTCCGAAATCCCAAATGCCTCAGATTGTGTTTGTTGTGTACCTTCAATCTTGCTCCGAAAATCAAACCTCTGCAGCAGGATCCAGCCGGTCGCCCGAAGGAGGTTGTGCCCACGCATACCCCGGAGGAGCGGAATAACTTCGATTTAAAGTCTAATGTAATCCCGTGCAATTATTGTAGCTTCCCGTTGCCAATCGAAACATGTTGTCGAGATGCTAGGGGCCCTAAACGAAAGACAGCCCGGGTGGCTTAACATAGACTCACCGGTCCTTCGTGATCTCATCAATCCGAAGTCAGCAAGAGGGCTCTCCTGGGAGTTTGTGTGGATCTGTTGCAGGGTCTTGGAACCCATGTCATCGGGAATGAACTACGATGGGTGACTACAAGATTCGGCTGCTATACATTGGGACCTTACAAGTAGCCTGTGCAATTGTTTCTTTGGGGCGCCCAGGTCTAGTCTCATCCGATTCTTTGGGGGAGGTCATGTGTGTATGATGTATGTAATTTCACTGTAACGACGATTCTGTCCTGCAGTGCAGAAAATGTGAATATTGAGCTAATATTATAGTATGTGTGGAGGCCGCAACACTGCCGATGGATCTGGTTACGCCCGAGTCGGAGATCAAGGTGTCTTGGACAGCATAGCCTGTGCGATTCAGTTTTGTACCAACCTCTGAAAGGGTAGTTGTTGAATCCACGAATCCGAAGTCAGGCACCTGCACCGGCAACCAAGAGACGATTGAACTTCGATCAGTGCGACGACACACCCACACCGAAGAGAGCACAGCGAGCAAAGGAGCTACATGACTTATTGAAGATGGACATGCGAAGCCCAGTCCCAAGCCGGACTGGAACTTTGAGAACGCCTTCGCCGAGCCCGCCTTTGACGACTCCTGGCCCCAAGCTGGCTCCGACGACAGCCCGCCCCAAGCTGGCTCCGGCGGCAAAAACGAAGCCCACAGCCGCCAAGTCCAAGACTACCAAAGGACCAGGTGCGAAGCGAGGTCCGGGCCGCCCCAGGAAGAGTTTGAGCATGGCGAGCCCGACTTTGAAGATTGCGACCAAGCCGAGTCCCAAGAAGAGTGTGATCAAGCCCAGCCCCAAGGCCGACAGTGGGAGCAAGCCGAGTCCGAAGAAGAGTGCGATCAAGCCCAGCCCGAAGGCAAGTGCGAGCAAGCAGAGCCCCAAGGCAAGTGCGAGCAAGCAGAGCCCCAAGGCAAGTGCGAGCAAGCAGAGCCCCATGAAGAGTGTGACCAAGCGGAGCCCCATGAAGAGTGTGACCAAGCGGAGCCCCAAACACCAGCCGAAGCGCGTGGTGGGTGATGCTCCCATGGGCAGGCGTGGACCCTTGAAGATGACGAGGGCATGTGTGTACTCCCGTGGCTACCATGACAAGAAGAATATGGGGGGCAGCAAGAAGCAGGCCTGGTTTTTAAAGTCTTGCATGGCTGATTTCAATGGGTAGGGCAACAATCCTGTTTAAGCTCGTCGTCTGAGGCAAGGGCAGCCGGCCGTCGAGCATGCAAGAAGGTTTTCGGCTATTGATGCTGCCGTGCATTTTGCGAAGCAGCAGGACTGATCGTGGTAGTTGTGAAATGTTTTTTTGTTTATACTCTTATACTACTTCTTTAAAAGCCTCAGCCCCAGGATCCTTATGCAGCCAGGCGTCGTCAAAGAGTGCAGCTGGCTGCTTGCGCAATGCCGTGAAGCCATGGCATTGGACTTTTGAAGTGTAGGTTATGGCTTCGGATTTAATTAGGATTCCGACTGGCTGACTCACGACATGTTGGATTTGCCAACATTACAGTTACACTGACGGCTGGCAACAAGCAGTGTTCGTCTGCGCCGGCGCCAAAACAGCTGTTGCGATCTTGGTGAGTGTCCCTCATGCCTGCAGCCCTAAACCCTAAACCCCGGATACCCGGAATCCCAAGCCATGGCCCCCACTCCGACCTCGACCTGAGCCAGACATCCACAGGCCTGAATCTCAGTAGATGTCAACCCCTTAAAACCTTCAATTTGAATACACCCTAGATTTGAAATATCTAGCTGAAATCTCTCTCGTTTCTGAGTTCTGGTTATGCTTGTCCAAAGTTCTGGTTGTCATGACTATCCCCTTAAACCCTAAACCCTAAAATCCCCTAAATCCCCTAAACCCTAAAATCCACTGTTTTCGGAAGCCTTCGCCAGGCCTTTGAGCCCCAAGGCCCGGCTTTCGAGTTCGTCGAGGCCTTGGCCCCTCGGAAGGGTTCAGTGCAAGTAATCCTAAAAAAGGGGTCCTCCTTAAAAAGGAGTCCTTAAATAAGGGAATCTTTAAAAAGGGAGTCCTTAAAAGGGGTTAGTGGGAGTACCTTTAAAGGAGTCCTCCTTAAAAAGGGAATCCCTTAAAGGGGTCCTCCTTAAAAAGGGAATCCTTAAATAAGGGAATCCTGAAATAAGGGAGTCCTTAAAAAGGGAGTCCTTAAAAGGGGTTAGTGGAAGTACCTTTAAAGGAGCCCTCCTTAAAAAGGGAATCCTGTATAGGGGTCCTCCTTAAAAAGGGAGTCCTTAAATAAGGGAATCCTTAAGAAGGGAATCCTTAAATAAGGGAATCCTTGAAAAAGGGAGTCCTTAAAAAAGGGAATCCTTAAAAAAGGGAGTCCTTAAAAGGGGTTAGTGGGAGTACCTTTAAAGGAGTCCTCCTTAAAAAGGGAATCCTTAAATAAGGGAATCCTTAAAAAGGGAGTCCTTAAATAAGGGAATCCTTAAGAAGGGAATCCTTAAATAAGGGAATCCTTCAAAAGGAGTCCTTAAAAGGGGTTAGTGGGAGTACCTTTAAAGGAGTCCTCCTTAAAAAGGGAATCCTGTATAGGGGTCCTCCTTCAAAAGGGAATCCTTAAATAAGGGAACCCTTAAGAAGGGAATCCTTAAATAAGGGAATCCTTGAAAAAGGGAGTCCTTAAAAAAGGGAATCCTTAAAAAAGGGAGTCCTTAAAAGGGGTTAGTGGGAGTACCTTTAAAGGAGTTCTCCTTAAAAAGGGAATCCTGTATAGGGGTCCTCCTTAAAAAGGGAGTCCTTAAATAAGGGAATCCTTAAGAAGGGAATCCTTAAATAAGGGAATCCTTCAAAAGGAGTCCTTAAAAGGGGTTAGTGGCAGTGGGAGTACCTTTAAAGGAGACCTCCTTAAAAAGGGAATCCTGTATAGGGGTCCTCCTTCAAAAGGGAATCCTTAAATAAGGGAATCCTTAAGAAGGGAATCCTTAAATAAGGGAATCCTTGAAAAAGGGAGTCCTTAAAAAAGGGAATCCTTAAAAAAGGGAGTCCTTAAAAGGGGTTAGTGGGAGTACCTTTAAAGGAGTCCTCCTTAAAAAGGGAATCCTTAAATAAGGGAATCCTTAAAAAGGGAGTCCTTAAATAAGGGAATCCTTAAGAAGGGAATCCTTAAATAAGGGAATCCTTCAAAAGGAGTCCTTAAAAGGGGTTAGTGGGAGTACCTTTAAAGGAGTCCTCCTTAAAAAGGGAATCCTGTATAGGGGTCCTCCTTAAGAAGGGAATCCTTAAATAAGGGAATCCTTGAAAAAGGGAGTCCTTAAAAAAGGGAATCCTTAAAAAAGGGAGTCCTTAAAAGGGGTTAGTGGGAGTACCTTTAAAGGAGTCCTCCTTAAAAAGGGAATCCTGTATAGGGGTCCTCCTTCAAAAGGGAATCCTTAAATAAGGGAATCCTTAAGAAGGGAATCCTTAAATAAGGGAATCCTTGAAAAAGGGAGTCCTTAAAAAAGGGAATCCTTAAAAAAGGGAGTCCTTAAAAGGGGTTAGTGGGAGTACCTTTAAAGGAGTCCTCCTTAAAAAGGGAATCCTGTATAGGGGTCCTCCTTCAAAAGGGAATCCTTAAATAAGGGAATCCTTAAGAAGGGAATCCTTAAATAAGGGAATCCTTGAAAAAGGGAGTCCTTAAAAAAGGGAATCCTTAAAAAAGGGAGTCCTTAAAAGGGGTTAGTGGGAGTACCTTTAAAGGAGTCCTTTAAAAAGGGAATCCTGTATAGGGGTCCTCCTTCAAAAGGGAATCCTTAATAAGGGAATCCTTAAGAAGGGAATCCTTAAATAAGGGAATCCTTGAAAAAGGGAGTCCTTAAAAAAGGGGGGAGTCCTCCTTCAAAAGGGAATCCTTAAATAAGGGAATCCTTAAGAAGGGAATCCTTAAATAAGGGAATCCTTGAAAAAGGGAGTCCTTAAAAAAGGGAATCCTTAAAAAAGGGAGTCCTTAAAAGGGGTTAGTGGGAGTACCTTTAAAGGAGTCCTCCTTAAAAAGGGAATCCTGTATAAAAGGGAATCCTTAAAAAGGGAGTCCTTAAGGGAATCCTTAAGAAGGGAATCCTTAAATAAGGGAATCCTTCAAAAGGGAGTCCTTAAAAGGGAGTCCTTAAAGGAAAGGGAATCCTGTAAAAAAGGGAGTCCTTAAAAGGGGTGGGAATCCTTAAAAAAGGGAGTCCTTAAAAGGGGTTAGTGGGAGTACCTTTAAAGGAGTCCTCCTTAAAAAGGGAATCCTGTATAGGGGTCCTCCTTCAAAAGGGAATCCTTAAATAAGGGAATCCTTAAGAAGGGAATCCTTAAATAAGGGAATCCTTGAAAAAGGGAGTCCTTAAAAAAGGGAATCCTTAAAAAAGGGAGTCCTTAAAAGGGGTTAGTGGGAGTACCTTTAAAGGAGTCCTCCTTAAAAAGGGAATCCTGTATAGGGGTCCTCCTTCAAAAGGGAATCCTTAAATAAGGGAATCCTTAAGAAGGGAATCCTTAAATAAGGGAATCCTTCAAAAAGGGAGTCCTTAAAAGGGGTTAGTTAGTGGGAGTACCTTTAAAGGAGTCCTCCTTAAAAAGGGAATCCTGTATAGGGGTCCTCCTTCAAAAGGGAATCCTTAAATAAGGGAATCCTTAAGAAGGGAATCCTTAAATAAGGGAATCCTTGAAAAAGGGAGTCCTTAAAAAAGGGAATCCTTAAAAAAGGGAGTCCTTAAAAGGGGTTAGTGGGAGTACCTTTAAAGGAGTCCTCCTTAAAAAGGGAATCCTGTATAGGGGTCCTCCTTCAAAAGGGAATCCTTAAATAAGGGAATCCTTAAGAAGGGAATCCTTAAATAAGGGAATCCTTGAAAAAGGGAGTCCTTAAAAAAGGGCATCCTTAAAAAAGGGAGTCCTTAAAAGGGGTTAGTGGGAGTACCTTTAAAGGAGTCCTCCTTAAAAAGGGAATCCTGTATAGGGGTCCTCCTTCAAAAGGGAATCCTTAAATAAGGGAATCCTTAAGAAGGGAATCCTTAAATAAGGGAATCCTGAAAAAGGGAGTCCTTAAAAAAGGGAATCCTTAAAAAAGGGAGTCCTTAATTGAAAGGGGTTCTTTTTGTGAGGTTTAGAGTTTAGAGGAGTGTAGGGTGTAGAGTTCCTTTACAACGTTCCTCTGAGGGGTTACTTCAATAACTTAAGGGTTCCATGAGGTACAGAGGGCATGGGTGAGGGATCGTAGAGTCTGCGCCCTGCAGTACCACACATCCCTGCCCTTCAGCGTTGGCCCTGAATCCGAAGTATTCTGGTTGCCTCTCTTTGTCATATAGTAGAAGCCAGAAAGTTGGAACATCATTATCCTCGTGCCCCTAAAGTACAGTATAGGGAATCCCAGCAAGAATCATCCTAAATCAATGTTCCAACTTTCTGGGGTTCACTATAGTTGGGTAGCATTTTACATTTTTTTGGGTACTTAAACCCAATAAGGAAAAGTTGTATATACATTTTTAATCCTACCCCAACAATGAACTAGCTCTGCTGAGGATGCGGCCCAATTCAGCCCCGGCGTGCTGCAGGGCTGCGGTGAGGCCCGGCGCGGATTGAGACTTGGAAGTTTCCGAAAATTGGGGGTACCTAATTTTGGGGTCCTTATAATAAGGATCCTACCATTTAGGGTACATATTAGGGTCGCCTATTTTCGGAAACTCCCACTTTACAATTGGGTCTTGTGCGAGAGTATTTTCAATTCTGCAGACCTGTCCCCACGCCCTATCCCCAAACCTCCTGAACGCATCGCCGAACCCCCCATCTCCTCTTTCGGGGAATGCGGAAGCATAAGAATTGAATCCAAAAGCGTCCCTAAACCCTATATGCCCCAAACAGTTATATCCTGAAAACGCAGGACTGCAAAAAGGCGCAAGTTGGTATCCGCGTGAGCCGGAGTTGCAGAACTTTAAACCCTAAACCTCCGATGTAGAAGCTCCTTATGGGCTGTCCTGCGGACAGCCTGTAGAGGCCTCTCTGCGGCGTGCCCTCTCATTCGACCTGCTGGATGTGCTGGGTGACGTGGCCTGGAACGGGCTGCGGAGCGTAACGCGCGCAGCGTTTGGGGATGCAGTTAACGGGTCGAGGGCCTGCGGTTTACGTGCAAGGGTGAGGGTTCAGCATTTAGGGGCCCAGAGGCTCTGCTGCCGGGTCTCGCGACCTTCGGAATCCTGCTGATGCGTGGCATCTGTCCCGTATGACGTGCACAAAGCTGCGGTTCCATAAGCTCTTCAACCTTTAACGGTCACGGCGGCATCATGGTGCCGCCCCAACATGCGACATCCTCA